GTAAAACTATGCCACTTATTACATTTGTATTATTTTGAAAAAAAAAAATAGTTCTTTCTTAAAAATGTTATTTGTGTTCAAATGTCTTGAAATTATTGCTAATTTTCAGTGAATTAATATTTTCATTTTCTTAGTTTTAATTTCTATTATGATAAGTATTCATTTATAACCTCTCTAACCAAAGCTCTTTTAAATCCTCAATAATATCTTAAGAGTCTAATGGGTTACCAGCCCAAAAGCTAAGGTCCACTGAGCTAGTTGTTTTTAAGAGATGGATGGGATACCAGCCTAGAGTCTCTGTGTAGAGAAGCTGACTTAGATATTAGGCATTCGCTCAGGCACTACATAACTTAAAAACATGTTTAAAGTTCAAGTATGGACTTTCCTCTCAGTAGAGTTATTTTTATTTATTGCAAAACATAAAAAAAATTTTAATATAATTTTTATTCTTCCACCTAAATACAATATATAGGTTCATATTTTTTTGTATTACATATATGGACATGTTTACATTTCTAGTCTTCACAATGAAAATTTAAAATTGCTGCATAATCATATCCAGCATTCTTACAAACCTCAATAGCAACTTTCACATTTGTTTTTTAAAGCATTTTATAAAAATTACTAAAGCTTCATGCAAGAAAAAATAGGGAAAATTACTATCCCAAGAAACTTACTTCTAGAATACCAGGGGATCTTATGTTATATCAAACTTGCCTGAGACAAACTCCTTTAGCTTGAAAAGCAAATATAACTCCATTTTGCCCAAGAACTTCTGGAAACCTTGAATTCAGAACTACATCTCTCTCCAGCTTTGAAAGCTCTACAGGCTCTCAAATTCCCTAAGGAACCTGTTTCCCATCATCTCAGGTGCTACCCATGGTTCCTTAAACACAATTCAAGCTTGCATGGGTCCTTTCCACACCTGAAATAACTTTTACCTAATCTGGACCTATCCAAAGGTCATCCTTTAAAGGTCAAGGCCAACATGAAAGCCAACTCATCCCAGATTTCTGAATTTCTTTCAACTGAATGTTACATCCTTCTTTGAATATCTAAAGGACTTTGTTTAAACATCTCTCAAAATTCAAATTATACTCTGCTTTCATTATCATCACTTCTTTTAAAAAATATTTTTTATTTTTATTTTGAGAGAAAAGGGAAAGGGAATAAGAAAAACATGGATCAACTGCCTCCTGCACACCACATTATCAATATTTTTTATCTCACCACCTCTTTTAGATCTTAAACTTATTCAAGGCAGGAACTGTTTTATCAATTTCTATTTCTTGAAGCCCATGTGAAAGAGGGAAAAAGTGCTGTGGAAAATGAGGCTCAGACAAACTATAATCTACCCCACATCTCATAGCTGGTGATTGAAAGAGTTCAATTTTAATGCCAGACTGCTTGACTAAAAGCCCATGTGCCTTCTACCATATTATCCCAATCTCCCTTCGTTACATCCCTTACAACAATAAATATTCAAGAAGTGTATAAAATTAAGTGAAATCAGACTGACTTTGTTCTTTTTCTTTTTTAATATATTTTATAGAATTTTCTATTTCTTTTGTTTAAATATATTTTATTGATTTTTTACAGGGAGGAAGGGAGAGAGACAGAGAGCTAGAAACGTCGATGAGAGAGAAACATCGACCAGCTGCCTCTTACACACTCCTTACCGGGGATGTGCCCACAACCAATGTACATGTCCCTGACTGGAATTGAACCTGGGACCTTTCAGTCCGCAGGCCGACGCTCTATCCACTGATCCAAACTGGTCCCGGCTCTGTTTCTTAATTTGAGCATAATTGGAGATAACAGAATAAGATTTCAATAAGTGTTTGTTGGATAAATGTGATAAAATTAATAATTTCTTCTACTATCCAAGAACTTGAATTTACTTTCTCTAGTTCCTCCTCTAATTTCTTCACTATTACTATCTCAGAGCAATAATAGTTAACAAATACAATATACACTGAGTGGCCAGATTATTATGATCTCTGAACAATAATCTGGCCACTCAGTGTATATCCTATATAATAAAAGGCTAATATGCAAATTGTCCCCTCCATCAGGAGTTCGACCAGCAGGCAGGCCAGCCAACTGCCCATGTCCCCTCACCCTGGCCAGGCTGGCCAGGCCCCGCTCATGCACAAATTCATGCATTGGGCCTGTAATATATACACACTGAGTGGCCAGATTATTATTCATTCAGAGATAATAATAATCTGGCCAGTCAGTGTATATTGGGCTACAGAAAATATGGCTAACAACTATATGTTTATGCTAGAGGCCTGGTACACAAAAATTTGTGCACTGGAGGGGGAGAGGGAAGGGTCCCCTCAGTCTGGCCTGCGCCCTCTTGAAGTAAAGAACCCCGAGAGGGATGTCCACTTGCCATCTTAGCCTGCTCCCTGGGGGATTGGGCCTAAACTGGCAGTCAGACATCCCTCTGGCAGCCTGGGAGCCTTCGGGGGATGTCTGACTGTTGGCTTAGGCCCGCTCCCCACAGGAATTGGCCTCGGCGGGATGGTGGAGCAGGTGAGCAGCGGTGCCAGACCAAGGGAGGGCACTGGTCACTGTCATCAAGGTGAGCCTCTGGTCGTTACTGAAAATTCTTTGCTCCTGTGCACTCACACCTGCTGCCCGCACCAGCCCCAAACACTTGACACCATCAGTGACTGTGAGTGGCGGCTGCAGGCCCTGATCGCCCTTGAAGGCTTCTCCACCTCCCCCTGCTCCTGAGGAGCGATCGGGACAGTAGCTGCCACTCACACCTGTTGACAGCACTGGCCCTGCTCACTGCTGGTGTTGGCCACAATTGCTCCATGCTGTCAGCAGGTGCGAGCAGGGCTGGCACCATCAGTGCATGGGAGTGGTGGCAGCAGTGGGAGCGGGGCTGCCAGTAGACAGGGGACCAGGGCTGTAGCAGGAGGGACCAGGCGGAGGCAGGGAAGATGGGCCAAGACCTGTCCCTGTGCCCACCACAGCCTTGCACCCCACAGTTCCTTTCAAGGTGCACAAATTTGTGCACTGAGCCCCTAGTACCAAATAAAGTATAAAACCTAGCATGTGGCAGGGACTTAATATTTCTGAATGAAGAAACTGTTTCCCTATTACTCTTAATTTATAGTAACATATATTATATATTGTTTATATGTTGAATAACAAAATATATAATATATAATACATCGCCCAGCTGGTGTTGCTCAGTGGTCGAGTGTCAACCCATGAACCAGGAGGTCACGTTTCAATTCTCAGTCAGGGAACATGCCCAGGTTACCGGCTCCATCTCCAATAGGGGGTGTGCAGGAAGTAGTCGATTAAAGATTCTTTCTTATCATTGATATTTCTATCTCTCTCCCTCCCCTTTTCTCTCTCTGAAATCAATAAAAATATATATGTAATACATTACTATTATATAATAAAGAACTTAGCTGCCTTTGCCCCAGGTTCCTGAGAAGTACCCACTAAATCCTTGGATATCTAGAGTAATTGATAGTTTTATGTTAACAAATTAACAAGGTGTCTTTTATACTCCATATGGGTGCTCAGACAGTTTATGCTACTGAAATGACTCAGGATCAGAGCCAGTCTAGCCAGAAAGGCCAACCTTGTGATTAGAGGTTTGATGTCCTGGAGACTGAGTAAAATCATGTAGCAAAAGCTTATTCAATGAAATTCTAATAAAAACTCTGGACATCAAAGCTCTGGTGAGCTTCCATAGTTTACAATACTCTGTGCACTTATACATCAGTGTGTCAGGAATATGATGCATCCCGACTCCACAGGAAGAAGATACAGAAGCTGCATGTTTGGGACCTTCCCAGACCCACTCTATGTGTCTTTTTTTTTTTTTTTTTTTTTTTTTTTTTTTTTGCGGCTAGTCCTTATTTGTAGTTTTTGTTGTTTTTGTTTTTGTTGTTTTTGCTATAATAAAACTGTAATTGTAAGGTTAGCACTTTCCTGAGTTCTCTGAGTCATTGTAGTAAATTATTGAACCTAAGAGGGTAGTAGGAGCCCCTGAATTTGTAGGCAGTTGTTCAGAAATGTGGATGGCTTGATAACTCCTGAGCTTGAGAATGGAGTGTGAAGTGAGGGTGTCTTCTGGGGGCACTGAGCCCTTAATCTGTCTAACTCCAGGTAGTTAGACAGATTATTGAACCTAAGAGGGTAGTAGGAGCCCCTGAATTTGTAGGCAGTTGTTCAGAAATGTGGATGGCTTGATAACTCCTGAGCTTGAGAATGGAGTGTGAAGTGAGGGTGTCTTCTGGGGGCACTGAGCCCTTAATCTGTCTAACTCCAGGTAGTTAGTGTCAGGACTGCAGTATAATTACCTCACAAGTAACAGATATCATTTTGTAAATAAGCGCCAGGCATTAAACCAGTATTTTTACATACACGATTTCTAAATCTTTAGAAAACATTTCTAAGTCTCGCAACAACTGCACATGATAGAATTACTATCCTAATTTTTTTAAAAAAATATATATTTTATTGATTTTTCTACAGAGAGGAAGGGAGAGGAATAGAAAGCTAGAAACATCGATGAGAGAGAAACATCGATCAGCTGCCTCCTGCACACACCTCACCAGGGATGTGCCCGCAACCAAGGCACAAGCCCCCGACCGGAATCGAACCCGGGACCTTTCAGTCCGCAGACTGATGCTCTATCCACTGAGCCAAACCGGTTTTGGCATTATCCTAATTTTTTAAGTAAGAAAACTAAGGAGTAAAAGCTATAGAGACAGTGGAGCCAAAACTCAGACTCAGCACTGTCTGACTCAAAAGCCCAGCATCTAGTCACTATCCTCACCAGCTTCTCATTACTGGTTACATATCGTAAATACAACACAAGGTAGCTATGGAAGAATGCATGGCACCTGAACTGAGAGGTAACTGTAAAATCTAAGGTACTCTGTATGAATTTACAAACTCTTTATATAAAATATAAAACAGTGTAATTTAATACAAATTTCTTTAGCAATTGCTTAACTTACTTGTTTGTGTTTTGGAAACATGTTTCTGGAGAAAATCAACTATCTGAGCCAAAACCTTCTTATGACAATGTGTTGATAATTTTTCATCACATTCGTAACACCTGAAAACATAGAGCATTTAAGCAAATTCTGCAAGTATCTTCAATAATTTTGCACATGAGATAATAAAGTTGGCACTTACCAGCTTTTGTCTTTCTATTATGAGAGTAAGGGAGGTAGGTGCAAAGGGTGAGGCACCAGGAAAATCAAGAGAAATAAGCAGTGGACAGTTAATAAAGAGTCTTATTATTCAATTAAAGTTTTGGTAGTTTATCCTAAGTGCAATGGAACACCATGAGGTGTTTTCAAGCAGGAAAGTGATATTATCCACTTTAAATTTAAAAACATCACTCTAACTATTATCAGATTATAGTTTATCAGGAATAGAAGCAGATCAGAGGATTTTGAACACAATGAACAGATTTATCTTATATATTTTCAGGTATAGACATGAGAAGGGAGAATTATGTAAGAGTATGTCAGTGATTCTCAAACGGGAACAATTTTGTCCTCAGAGGACATTTGGCAATATTTTGAGGCCATTTTGGTTGTTACATTGGGGAAGCTGCTACTGACATCCGTGGGTAGAGAGGCCAAGGATGCTGCTAAACATCCTCTATCTCTAGGACAGTCCTGGACAGTACAGGACAGGCCCCTTACAACCAAGAATTATCAGCCCAAATGACACTTGTACTGAGATTGAGAAGTCCTGGTTTAAGTAAAACAAGACTAGCTGAGAGTTAGTAATATTTAAAGCTGGGTGATGGATGTAGAGGAAAAATTCATTTTAGTATTTGTCTACTATTGTTAAAAGGTTAAAAAATAAAACAAGATAAAAAGGGAAGAAAATAAAAACTGCCAGGCTTCTGACTTGAATACTTAGTTCCACATATAGAGATGGAAAAGATTGGATGAGATTAGTGTTTTATTTTGTTTGAGGTCTATTTGGGAAGAGTGGGTTCATGAATGATTTCTAAAAATGCATATCTTTTCAGAAAACCAACCTACACTAAGTTTATTCATTAATGCATACAGTATTAATAAAGGTTTCTTCTATATATTATCATTACCTATTCCCTTTATCTTCATGAGATCCAAAGATCAAATAAAAATATGTGTTTGAAAGCAATGAAAATTTGATAAGTCTAATGTGTTATACCAACACTAACTTTTATATTCACAATCTTCTTTCTTATAATTATTAGTGGTTCTATGATCAATGACTGTAAACTAGATTTAGGTTCCTTTCCTAAGTAATACTTACAGTCAAATATTTACTGAGTGTCCCCTCTCTCATTTATACACAAAAATATATACATAGATAAATCCATGAAGGAAATGAGTCACAGAAAACATCCCCAAATGTCTTTTCGATAAAGAATTTAATTATAGTTACGAGGCTTACATGATAGATGCTCTATGTTTACGAATGTAACGATTATAAAAAATAATAAAATAAAATTTCTCATTTTAAAGATGTTAAAATGTCAAGAAATTTTTACTGACATTGCAATTTAATGTTTACTTGTTATAAAATACTAGAGACCCAGTACACAAAATTCGTGCATGAGTGCAATCCCTAGGCCTGACTGGTGATGGAAGCGCAAGCATCTGGCATAGTAGTGCAGGTCTCAGAAAATTCATTCAAGGAAGCCTAGGAGTCTATAAATTCTAGTTGGAACATTTTTGTTGTAAAATACAAGGAAAGCATTTCAATAGTGTTCACTTACACCACTAAAGTGTGGTATGCTGAGAAGAGACTAGAGTCTAAAAAAAAAAAAAGACTTGTTTTAAGTGCCTGGATTTTTATTGTGTAACCACAGAAAGGTAAATGATATTCAGTGTCCTTATGCATAAAGTGAGGGAACTGAACTTGATTTCTAAATAAGGTTTCATAGTAGATTCTCTAAGAAGTTCCCTTTTACCCACAGAGTATCACCATACATTTGACTGTTTCAAGCTCCTTCCTCCTCTAGAACTCAGGATTCTGTATTAGCACGTTCATTACGAAAAAGTGACTGGAAAGAATTTTTCTAATTTCGTTATTATTTAAATTTTATATTCATGAGTAATTATTTTCTTAAATTATTCCATAGGTTATATTCAGGCTAAAAAGCATAAGTTGGTATAACATCTTTAATTATTTTGCCCATAAAGCTAAAAAAAAAAAAAAGGAATTTTTTGTAATGGACATAAGTACTAACAAAATCTAACTTACCATATAATCCATGAGCTCAGGCTAATTATAATACAGTGCAGCTCTGTTCTCCAACTCTTGAAGTGCTTCAGTGAATGCTGGCTTTCTGAGTTTTTACCACATCCCTAAAGGGGAACAGATTGCTGTTTTGATTTACATACATATTTGTTTCTAAATCAACCAAAACTTAAATCATACTTGAACTCAAAAATCATAAAATACAAATAAGTAAAAGAAGGTCTAGATATAAGAACTATTTCGAGTGAAATGGATTCCTTTTCAAGTTCTTACAAATGACACATGATTACTTTCTGAACAAAACACCTTTCACTTTACCTTAAACATTTCTAAGACATTTCTTAGAGAGTTCTTTCAAAACATGGAATAAATGTATCTTAAGTTTTAAGCATTACTGACAATCCAACTCAAAATAATCATTAAGGAAAATATTTAAGACAAACTCCCACATTAAAAATAAAAACTTTCTCACCTGAAAACCACACTTGAGGCACAACCAAATCTCAGAAGAAAGTACTGGCTGTTCATCATGGAATCTTCTTTCTTTTAAACATTCTGAGCAAACTGACCACAGATTCTCTGCTATTGCCTTTTTCACATGATTCACACTGACAGCATGACTTACATGTTGACAAGTAAAACCTATAGAATAAAACAAAACAAAATTTGAGCATTTTCTTTGCTAAACCAAAGTGCAGTCATCAATAAGCAAATCCACTAATATTAAAATGCTGTAAAAAGCACTGAGATTGAAAAAAAAGAACAAAATAACTCATAAAGGATACATATTGCATATTCCATTTATAAAATATTTGTAAAATAACATAATTACAGAGTTCGAAAACAGGTTAGTGGTTACCAAAGGCTGCAGATGGGGAGAAACTCAGAGTTATGGCTGTAGACAGGTATCAACTTCGGGTGGTGATTAAATAGTCATGTATCTTGATTGTGAAAGCTGTACATATAATAAAATTCCCTGCAACCCTAGCATGTGCCCTTGACCAGAATCGAACCCAGGACATTCAGTCCACAGGCTGATACTCTATCCACTGAGCCAAACCAACTAGGGCTTAAAAACATCTTTTTAAATGAAGAACTGAACTAACTGGTAAGAAAGTAAAGAAAATCCTCCAAGGCCAAAACCGAAGGCATGAGGCTAACACAAATCCTAAAGCCAGCAGCTCCCCAGGGTGGTCTGCCCACCTCAGTGGCGTCATTTTTTTGCGGGGGGGAAGACCAGCAACCTGACTCTGTACCTAGTTAATTAATATCTCTAATGCACATTCCTGTTAGCCTATAGTCCAGTCACTGCCCCTTCCTTAATTATCTGGTCTTGCAAGACCTATTTACCTAAATACTCCCACTTTACAGAGGCCATAAATCATGAACAGTACAAAACCCTCGAAGGGAGTTATCATTGCTGGCACCAGGCCAGGCCTTTAGGTGTGGTCTCACGGCCCCTATCCCAACACACGGAGCTTTGTGCAAAGCCCGATAAAGATCCAGAAGTCTGATCCATATTTGGGGGACAAAGAAACCAAAGGGTATAAAGAGAAAGCTTCCTCCATATTAGTTTGCTCAGGATTTGGAAACAGGCTCCCCTGAGTCACGATACTAGTACCTCTGGAAATAAATGGGTTTTTCCTGTATCTCCAAGTACTCCTGTGTGAGTATTTTCCGGTCGCCTGGTAAAATCTGTAACTACGTGAAGGCTGAGCATGAGAAACAGGGCAATGACAAAAATAAGCTACTTCTGATTACTTTATAAACTAAACAAAATATTAATAAAAGCACCAATAGCAGTTTTTGAAACTAGACAAGCTGATTTTTATGTTCACACTGAAAATAATAAAAACAAAGAGAAAATATTTCATTAATTAAAAGTATATGTTTAACCACTATGCTGTACATTTGAAACTAATATAAAATAATATTGAATGTAAACTGTAATTTAAATATAAAATAAAAAACGCATGTTGTTATATCTTTTCTATAACATTATTTAGGAGGCCAGTTACAACGTACCAGTGATGTCATCTGAAGAGTCTTCATCATGAGGTATAGTCGGCCTTTTACTCCTTTTGGCTTTCTCAGATAAAACTTTGGATGGCTCTTTCACCCGCATCTGTTATTTACTGAAAAAGGTTGGGGGCGAGGGGGGAGGAAGGGGAATGAATATAATCTAATCCTCAAAAATGAAATTGTATGTATTATACTTAATGCATATTAAAATTGAAATTAATATTATTTTAATTGGTCTACTAAATCAACAGAGGAAGAGGGGAGAGTCAGATGGAACCAAAACTTCTTTATTAAACCAACATAAAGTGGCACTTTATATTGACTTTTACCGACTACTCCCTAGATATATGCTATGTAGGTGAATGAAAAACTAAAGTTTCAATCAAGGGAGCAAGTGCTGCTTCTAAGTCAGGTGCTCCCTTGCCCTCTCTCCTGTCTCACTAGCTAGGAGGTAGTAGGAGTTGGTAAAGCTACAATGGCCAAGGGATGGAAGCCATGTGCCAAGCACAGTAGAGCTACTCCACCTTTCTGAATGACCTAGTGCTATGTTACTGAGAAATAAATTTCTACCTTTCCCCCACTTTTTATTTTATTTTTTAAATTATTTTTTTAAATATATGTTTTTATTGATTTCACAGAGGAAAGGAGAGGAAGGGAGAGAAACATCAATGATAAAAGAGAATCATTGATCTGCTCCTTCCTGTAGCCTCACCAGGAATCAAGCTCACAACTCAGGCATGTGCCCTGATCAGGAATCAAACCTGCTCAACCACTGAGCCACAATGGCCTAACTCCCACTTTTTTTTTTTTTTTAATATATTTTATTGATTTTTTACAGAGAGGAAGAGAGAGGGATAGAGAGTTAGAAACATCAATGAGAGAGAATCATCCACCAGCTGCCTCCTGCATACCCCCTACTGGGGGTGTGCCTGCAACTAAGGTACATGCCCTTGACCAGAATGGAATCTGGGACTTTTCAGTCCGCAGGCCAACACTCTATCCACTGAGCCAAACCGGTTTCGGCTCCCACTTTTTTTAATTATGAAAAGTCTTAAACTTCCACAAAAATTAAAAGAACAATATAATGAATACCCATATACTATCTATATTCCACCTAAAACATTTTGCCATACTTATTTTATCTAAATACCAATGTACATATAGACATATATACCTGTTTGTTTGTTTGTTTTTTAATATATTTTTATTGACTTCAGAGAGGAAGGGAGAGGGAGAGAGAAACATCAATGATGAGAGAGGAAAAAAAATTATGAGAGAATTGATTGGCTGCCTCCTGTACATCCCCTATTGGGGATCGAGCCCACAGCCCAGGCATGTGCCCCTGACAAGAATCGAACCTGGTACCTTTCAGTCCACAGGGTGGAGCTCTATCCACTGAGCCAAACCAGCCAGGGCTGTATGTTTGTTTTTGCTGAACTATCTGAATGTTGCAGACAGCATGTATCTCTTAAGAATAACAATATTCTCCTATATGATCACATTATTATCACATCTCAGAAAATCAACATGTTTAATTTCTTCCACTGACCCAAAAGTGTCTTCTATACTGGTTTTTTTAATAAGAATTCAATCAAGGCTTTTGTATTTGATTATGTCCCTTTAGTACTTAATTGACAACTGTTTTTCCCATAAAAGATGGAAAGTTAACAGTGCCCTACTTTCCTAAGACACTGGCTTTTTAAAGAGATCAGGGCAGTGCATGAGTCATCTTGGAGGTTTTGCTAAAATGTAGATTTTGATTAAACAAGGCTGTCACAGGACTTGAGATTCTGCCTGCTTTGCAAGCTCTCAATGAGAAGCCAACGCTGGTGGTCCAGTTTCAATAGCAAAACTCTAATACCCCACAATGAATTTGACTCTTCCCTCGTGATGTTATTTAACTCTATCTCTTAAATTTCTTTAAAACTCAGTTAATTCTAAAGATTTTAGATACAAGTTATGTAATTTTTTTAAACCAATATATTTTGGAGACTTTATTAAAGTAGCTTAGCCTAAATCCTACCTAGTATCACCCTACCCCATGGCTGAGCTACTGTAATATTCATGATTATTTATTTACATATTTGCTTTTATTGATCAAGGTGAAAGAATCTTTCAACTCAGTAATAAATTCTGAATCTTGATTTAGTTATATTATGTCCCACAGTAGGAGCTTTTGTGAGTCATTTAGTTATATTATGTCCCACAGTAGGGAGCTTTTGTGAGTCATTACAATTAATTTCCCTAAGTCCAAGAGTCACCATATTGAACTGAGTTGCAAAAAATTAAGGCCTCAAAGTCACAGACATGCACACAGCCTCTGAGTTCCTTGATCACTTCATTTCTTTTCTTTTTTTCCTTCTTTTTTTGTATAGCAAAGGTGGAAATTTATTGAAGAACATGTACAGATTCCCACGTGAGTAAGGGAAAGAATCTCACAGCACAAACTCCCACGTGGGGAGGGGAAAAGGGTCCCCTTAATCCCTTCATTTCTGACTGCCTTTTACCTCCAACTTCTTCATCCGCTTAGCCCCCCAGTCCATCCTTGCAAAATCACTAACTCAAGTACCCCATCCTCAGGTCACAACTTCAAGTTTTACAGCTTCCTTGCCCAGCCACTCCTGCTCTCCTTGAGTGACCAGGCTCACAGGAGTTTGCATCTCAACAAATGCTCCCAGGATCACTTCAGCAGGGCAGGAAAAGGGGACATGCAAATGGGAGTACTGGTTCTTTAAGCGTCACTTGGAAGTGACACACGTCATGTCTGCTCTTATTTTACTGGGCTAAACAAGTCAGATGGCAACTCATTTCAAGCAGACATAGAGAGGGGGGATGTTAGTGTAGACAAAGAATGCAGCCTTATCATGTTCCCAGTAGGAACAGAATATGTGTACATAGCCCAAATGAGTACATTACCACTCTCACAAAACCCCAATCCTAGATGAACACAATTAATCACTTTCTCAATGTCTGCATCCAAATGGCAGGAGAGTCTTGTAAGAAAGCAGAGTGGGTCCACTAAATTCACACACAATCTCAAATGGATGAAGACATGCCATTGTCTACTATACTTTCTGCTCAGCTTATCTATCTTCACACAGCCATTTGAAACCTTTTTCATTCTCCGAAATCTCCAACTCTTCCCATCTCCCTACTACTAAAAATAAAGTCTAGTTTTCTACTTACTGAAAGAGACATAATCAGATGGCAAATCTGATCTTTTCACCCCAAACATACAAATTTACCTCCAACTATGCTAAGTTGATGTCCCAAAAAAATAGACATAACTAAAAGAATCCAGGAAAAGTGGCCCATAAATATACAGATAAACTCTCAATAAAGAAGAACATTAACACATATGCTGGCAGAATTTAAAAAAAAAAAAAAAAAAAAAAAAAAGAACCGGTACTTTATCTAAAATCTGTAAAAGACAGACTTTTTTTGTTTTTTCCCAAAAACACTGACTCAAACTTAACTTGGCAATGTCAATTTCCAGTGATTTTCATGACATATACAATATGCCTACACCTTCTAGTATCATTTTGGACAGTAACCCACTATTCAGCAATCACTTATCTGTATGTTTCTTTTTTTCAATTTTCCTTTAGAGCAATAATACTTTCTATCATCTATTACTGGAGCTTCAAATACTTTCTATCATCAATATTGTGTCTGGGGTGTTCCAAGACCACCCTCACATTTGGAGATTCACTAGAGGGACTCACAAAACTCAGCATGTACAGCAGTTAGTTGTACTCATAGCTAACATTTACTAGGGCAATGTAGTATGAAAATACCGCCTGATCATAATGAAAAAAGACACAGCCGAAGGCTGGAGGGATCCATGTGTAGGTTTCCCAATGCTCTCTCCTTCCCAGAAGGAATCAAATCCAAGCAAAACGTCTGTGCAATGTTTTTGCCCAGGGAAGCCCATCACACACTCGCAGGCCCAGGATTTTTATGGGAGCCGGTAACTTCAGCACAACCACATGGCAAAGCATAAACCATATTGTTGCCAGATCCCAAACAAGCGCTCACCTTGCAGGAGCCTTTCTAAAAAGTCAGCAAGCTCAGGCCTACTGTGCTCTTTTCAGCACCAATGCTTTCGGACCATTTTTCTCACGTGGTTGTTTGCCAACCAAAGTTTTTAGTTTCCAACTTCAGCATTACTCTAAGATCTGTCCTTATCGTTAATGTAGGATGTACAACTAAGTTGTTTAGGAATGTTTGATTTTTTTTTTTAAGCAGGTTATGCAAAAAATAAAAAGCCTGTATTCCTTTTTTTTTTTTTTTTTTTTAATCTGTTTTTTTCTTGCTCTTGGGCCATTATTTTCAGCGGCGGAGGCGAGGTTGGGGGAGGGAAGAGAAATTGGGACACGACTCTCCCTTTAGACTCCAGGCTCCAAGAGATGAACAGCGCTTACAAGGTTTTACTGAGCATCGCACTCGGTTCCAAGCTCGTCTACGCCCACTGAATCCTCACTGCCACCCACTGGGTCAGGTTACTATTATTTCGCCCAGTTTACACCTGAAGAAACTGGGGTACACAGAGACTAAGTGAGGGGCAGGGTTCCCGGAGCCAGGAGGAGGTGGGCGGGGATCTGGTCCCGGACAGCCCGCCTCCGGGGCTCCCTACTCCGCGCGGTGCAGCCAGAGACCCGGTGACACACGGCCCCCCGGTCACGACCACAAACACCCCACGTTTCCTTAGAGGAAATGCGTCCTAGAGGAGAGGATGCCGGAGGGAGGCCGGGCCAGATGGGTGCCGGGCTGCCGCGCACCCGATCGAGGTGCGGCGGGGACCCGGCCCCTTTCCCCGCCGGCCGCCGCCCGGCCCCGGGCCCGCTCAGCCGCGATCCCCGGCCCTGGAGGACACCCCGCGGCCCCACTCCGCCCCCCGCGATCGGCAGGACGGGAGGGCGCAGGGGGTCTCTTCCCCAGGCCCACCACTCCCCTGGGGGTCAGGGTCGCAGAAACCAAGACGGAGCGGCTGCGACCCAGGCGCCGCCGCCGCAACCCACCTGCCGGGCCGGGCCTCCGGGTCCACACCAGAGGGACTGCGCCTGCGCGGCCGTCCTGTCAGAGGGGGCGGGGCCTTGGGGGGCGGGGCGGGGCCAAGGTCTGGGTGGGCGGGGACCTCCGCGGGGAGCCGCGCACCGGAGCGGAGCGGGGCGGGGACCGGGCGGGCGGGGCTCGTTAAGGCCTGCGTTCCCTCCTTGGGCTGAGCCCGGTAGGTGCCCACTGATCTTGCAATAATAGCACCGGACTCCCTTTTGGATTCGAATAGCAGCCTGGAGGGCGCAGCTCGGTCTTCCCAGGCTCGGGGTTACATCTCCCTTGTTGCTGCGCACCTGCTGGGACAGCCTCCTCCCTTCCTCCGCACACACCGCGCCATCAAGCCCCATGTGACACCCGTCATGGGTCACCTTGCTTTTCTTTTTCTTTTTCTTTTTTTAATGATGGTTGTCTTATCTTTCTTATTTCCTTACTGGACAGGGGACGTCTTGATCTACTCCTATACCTCTTGGAATTTAGGTTACCCGTGAAAGTGGTCTGCATATTGCGTATGCTTAGGAATAAGTAGCTGGCTTGAAAACATTTCGATTGAACTTTGAAGCAAGGGAGCAGAGGCCCCAGGCTCTATCCCTCCCCTCCCCTTCTTTCTAGGTTAGGGAGCTACGGGTTGACTTGTGGCTAGACACCTGCCCCCTTACTGACACACACACTCCCCTCCTCTCCCCCCCCCCCCATTTATTTGGGTAAGAAATAGTTGAGATAGTCCTAGCGGGTTTGGCTCAGTAGGTAGAGCCTCTGGACTGTGGGGTCCAGGGTATCGTCCTGGTCAAGGGCGCATGTGCAGTTGCGGGCTCAATCCCCAGTAGGGGACGTGCAGGAGGCAGCGGATCAATGATCCTCTCTCATTACTAATGTTTCTCTCTCTCCCTCGCCCTTCCTCTCTGAAACCAATAAGAATATATATTTTAAAAAATAGTTGAGACAAATGAAAAGTAGTTTCAGCCAGGGTTAGCAGTCATCTTGACCTACATCTTAGTTTGGGGGCCTAGTTTTGAGGCCGCTCTGCCCTCCAGACAGCCACCCCCCCCCCGCCCCCCAATCCAGAGAAGAGGGACTGAGATGAGCTGCACAAGTAACACCCGACCCTTCACCCCCAGCGTCAGAGACTACTAGCCACCTCCATTCCCTCCCCTGGCGATGATAGAAACCTCCACCCAGACTCCCTGGGTGTGACTCACTTCCTGAGTTGGCCTGCACTCTACTATTTCTTGAGAGTGTACTGTCACCTTAATAAGTCTTATGTGCTTTATTTAATCTCTCTGTCTGGCTCTTGGATTTTTTCCTGCCCAGTGACAAGAACCTGGACACTGTCACTGGGGTGAGGCCTCCCTTGGTCTCCCTGTAAGTCCTCCAGCATCAGAATGTAGAGCTTATCCATTAGTGCTAGTTATGGATAAGCTCTACAATTCTTGCAGTCTTTCCAAGTTCTTCAGCATGGGTCAAGTTTGGCCTTAGGAATAGAGCCTTGGATTAAGAGTCAAAAGATGTTAGAGATAAACCAAAAAATAACAACAAAACTCCAATTCATTTCCAATGAAATAAAAATTATTTCCATGTAGAGAATTTGGTTAGGGAGATTACTAAATGTTTACATTGTGTATGAAAACCATATTTTTATGTAATTATCATTTGTTAAAAGAGAGCACAGATTACATTAAAGTCTACACTCTATTTCACACTTGATTTTTTTTTTTCACCTGACCATATATCTTGACATATTTCCACTGTAGCCTCATTCTTTTATCAGGACTTCAGTGAATGGGTGTATCACCTGTTTTTCCCTCTTCAATTATTCCCTTATTAATATACATTTTTCCTTGCCTATTTGTGGAAATGTTTTCTGTAGATAGACTATTAACAGTGGAAATGCTGAGCCAACAGACTGATTTTTATTTTTATTTTTGATAGGAACTCTTTTGGGAAAAGTTGTATGAAAGGCAAAACATTTCCTAATTCTTCACTTGATTTAAAAATAAAATATCTGGGGGTGTGAAGTGGATTTAGAAAGAAATGAGAAGAACCCCAACTCTTTTTAAAATATATATATATATATATATATATATATATATATTATTGATTTTTTACAGAGAGGAAGGGAGAGAGATAGAGTTAGAAACATCTATGGAGTCAAAGATCAGCTCCCTCTTGCATGCCCCCTACTGAGGATGTGCCCGCAACCAAGATACATGCCTTTGACCGGAATCGAACCTGGGACTCTTCAGTCTGCAGGCTGACGCTCTATCCACTGAGCCAAACAGATATCTTTTTAATAATCGCTTCCTTCCCACTTGTCTTATTGCCCACCTCCCCTCAAAAAAAAAAAAAAAAAAGGAGCAAAGAAAAAAGAGAAAAGAAAATGAGTTGTTTGAAAATTAATGGTTCATATCAACTTAGCATTAGTAGCGCTCTCCCAGAAAGTTACATGACTTATTTCCCTTTCATCCCACTTTAAGCCTTGCTAACTCTCTCTGAAGGAAGAACTTTGACACTCGTCTGAGGAGCAATCTCTTTTGACAAGAGCTTTATGCTCTAAGATCTCTTAAATAAACCAAGTTTGGCACTGTGCTAGATATGAAAGCACACATTCACCTTTTCAGAAGAAAAATCTTATAGAAACATATTTCTCAAATAATTAGTCATAAACATTAGGAAAAAAATTGTTTAGTAACATGTGCCCTTGCCAAAGCATAAATCATTAAATGTGATTCATGCAGGCATGTACACTGTTTCATGTCTGGTTCCATACAACCCGTAGTTTATAATGCACATTCAAGCCAGCGTGGGGATGCCATAGAGAGTACATGAATCTGCAATATATAATGACATTTTGGTTCAAAGTTAATCCACCAAATAGATTACACAGAGGCTATGGTTAAGATCCAAATGATTTTTGAAAAATATAATTGTAAGTGATGTTATGGGCATAGAAATCTGAAGTGGTTTTAATATTTATTAAATAATTAAAAATGGAACAATTGAGAAGTACATGTTTAATGAAATTAACATGGGAAGGCATTTATAAAGATACTGGTACTTGGACACTACTAATAAGTCCATTTAGACATTAATTTTTAATTCCTACTGTTAATGAATTCACATTAAGACATTTGTATTGTCTTAAGCCAGTAAACTTGTGGCGATGTGTTACAGTAGCAATTGGAAATTAACACATTTTTAAAAAGTAGTTGCACCTAACCCTGACAAAGTTATCACCAAATATAATCAAATATCATCAAGTGGTGGGGAAAAAATGACAGCATGAGGCTATCTTAACACTCAAATCAGTTGAACTATTGGAACCAAGAGCAATTGTGAGAAAAACCTCCATGTAGGTTGCTTTAATCTATAATATTAGAATCCTGTTGAAGCCAATTGGAGCAATATATTTAAATCTTTAAATATTATCTTTGGTATATTTCTTACTTTCTATGGTTTTTTTTTTTTTTTTGCTTTTATTAATGCAATTTATTTCCTTACTTATTTATTTTTAATTTATCTTTATTGTTTAAAGTAGTATTACAGATGCTCCCCTCTTCCCCCCATTGACTCCTTCCCTCACCCATGCCCAACCTCTCCCAGGTCTTCACTGCACTATTGTCTGTCCATAGGTTATGCATGTATTTACTTTCTACTTTTAAACTTTATCTCTCCTTAATCAAAATTAACTTTATTTATCCTTAATGAAAACTAAATTAGTTTCTTTCCAAAGTATTTTCTTTTTTTAAATGTTTTTACTGATTTCAGAGGGCGGAAGAGAAAGGGATAGAAACTTCTAGGGCTGCCTTCTACTGGGGATGTCCCCACAACCCCAGCATGTACCCTGGCCGGGAATCCAACCAGGTCTTCCTGGTTAGGTGACGCTCAGCCACTAAGCCACACCAGCCAGTTTCCAAAGGATTTTATTTATTTGCTTATTTATTTGTTTGTTATTTATTTATTTACTTATTTATTTTTAATAAATCTTTATTGTTCAGATTATTACAATTGTTTCTCCCTTCCCCCCCATAACTCCCCTCCACCCAGTCCCCACCCCACCCTTTGCCCTTACCTCCCCCCCACCCCCCTCTGTCCTCATCCATGGGTATATGATTTTTGGATTTTAAATGCTCAAGTAGGACACGTTTGGGTCAGTGATTAGGCCTTGTGGCACTACCCGGCACCTGGCTGGGGGCGCTCAGGAGCCCTCCCGGTGGGCGGGGGCGCGGGTGGAGGAGACGGGGCGGGGGGGGGGGGGGAGGAGGAGCTGGAGAAGGAGGAGGAGGAGGAGGAGGAGGAGGCGGGGCTGGGGGAGGAGGAGGGGGAGGAGGAGGAGGAGGAGGAGGAGGAGAAGGAGGAGGCGGGGCGGGGGGAAGAGGGGGAGGAGGAGGAGGAGGAGGAGGAGGAGGAGGAGGAGGAGGAGGAGGAGGAGGAGGGGCTGGGGGAGGAGAAGGAGGGGGAGGAGGAGGTGGGGCTGGGGGAGGAGAAGGAGGGGGAGGAGGAGGCGGGGCTGGGGGAGGAGGAGGAGGAGGAGGCGGGGCTAGGGGAGGAGGAGGAAGAGGAGGAGGAGAGGGGCTGGGGGAGGAGGAGGAGGGGGAGGAGGAGGCGGGGCTGGGGGAGGAGGAGGAGGAGGCGGGGCTAGGGGAGGAGGAGGGGGGGGAGGAGGAGGAGGCGGGGCGGGGGGAGAAGGAGGAGGGGGAGGCGGGGCGGAGGGAGGAAGTGGTCAGCAGTCCCGCCGCCGCCGCCGCGATGCCCCTGCAGAGGCTGCTGCTCCGGGGTGCGCGCCGCGCGGCCCTCGGGCCCACGGGCCCCGCGCTGTGGGGTGAGCCAGGGGCCGGTGCGGGGAAGGAGCGCCGGACCCGGGCGCCAGGGAAGGGAGGGGCCGGGAGGGAAGTATGGGACCGGCAGGGGCCTCGCTTCTTTATACTTCCCTGGAGAGGGACGCGGTAGCTGGCACCTGGGGCTCCAGTTCTTGCTCCTGCAGATCCGGGCTCCTGGGGCCGGGGCTGCCCGGGGGCGCAGGGGCAGGAGGAGACCTGGCCCGGGAGCTCCGTGGGAGGCAGTGGTAAACCCGCCGGTGCCCTGATAAAGGGAATTCGCCCGCCTCGAGTTCCCTTGTGACCCGCTGGAGAGCCGCGCTGACAGCTAGGTGAACGTTCACCTGGAGTCACAGCAAGTCAGAGCCAGGAAAGCACCACCCTGATTTCACAGATGGCGAGGGAGAAGGCAGTGAGTGGTGTTAGTTCTGGAACCCAGAGCAAGCCTCCATTCCTTCTCTTTGCTTTCTATGCTGCCTCTTCTTTGGCAACAACTGTTACTGGTGCACGCGGGTACCGGGGCGGGCATGCACTGTCCCCTCCCCTCCCCTCCCCTCCTCCTCCCCTCCCCTCCTCCTCATTCTCTCCCCCGCTCCCCCACCCTAGTATTCCATTTTAACTGTTGGGACATCCTTCAGTTTACGATGTGTTGTTTTATACCCCTTTGGAGGTTCTTTGTAGTTTGTTTTTTATCTTTGTTCGACAATTTATTGAGCACCTTCCAAGCCAGGCCTCCTGGGGATACAGCCTCTGCAGTTCTCTACCATTTGGGGATAGACAGACATAGGTACACAGTCAACACACACAGCCGGGTCTAGCGAGACTGCAATGGAAAGCACAACTGACTCTGCCAGAGTTGGGGAAAGTTCGAGAAAAGGTGCCTTTTTATTTAAAAATTCTAGTAGTGATACATGATTATAGTTTGATTATGTTAAAACAATAAAGCACAGCATACGTCTCCTTTATACAACCTCCTCATCTCACTCTCCTCCCCAGATATGGTTTGTTATCAGTCTTTCTAAACAGTTTTCTATGAGTATACATACATAAATATACACATAAAATACTACATATATGCCTGGCTAGCATGGCTCAGTGGTTAAGGATAATAAGTTTTGATGTAATGATGTTTTACTATTTATTACTTTTTTGGCAAAAAAAATGTTTTAATCATGTATTTATAGAAATTCTACTTAGATTGTATCTTGGAAATAGTATAACTTGTTTATTGTATAAACAATATAAATCAGGAACTTAGGCTAAAAAAAATAGAACTTAAAAAGATTGAGAATCATTAGCTCAAATGCTAGGCAAGTGGCATAAAACCACATACACACTCCTGCTCTTCTTTGCTCAGGCTCTGCTTCACAGAAGGCTTCTATGTTTATCTGTTCTGTATATAAACCAACGAGGAGAAAGTACTGAGTTTTCTCTCCGTTTTTAAAGCTAGGGTTTCTTGGCATATGAACTTTCAAAATCATTTCCTGGGGTACTGACATCGCCCATATCTAGTAGTCCACAAGTAATAGCTACAGTACCAGAATTTGCTAAGACACATGTTGGAAGGTCAGGTGATCCTACCCTCCACAACCATCTAAGTTCAGAGATGACCAATGTTGGAAGAACAGGAACGATGAGCTAGGAAAGCAGAGGTGGTGAGTGGGCTCTCTCCTATGAAGATCAGGTCATCAGATCAAAACATTCACCCCCATCCCTGCCTTCATTGACCTCTGGATATTTCACAGTAGGCATCAGGGTGAAGATGCTGGTTGTTAGGACAGGGCTGATGCCTGACAGGTAGGATTTTATTTTTTGCTCTTTTTATTTTATTTTTAAAATATATTTTATTGATTTTGTACAGAGAGGAAGGGAGATGTCAGAAACATCGATGAGAGAGAGTCATCGATCAGCTGCCTCTTGCACACCCCCCACTGGGGATATGCCCGCAACCAAGGCACATGCCCTTGACTGGAATCAAACCCGGGACCCTTCAGTCCCCAAGTCGATGCTCTATCCATTGAGCCAAACTGGTCCCGGCTATTTTTTGCTTTTTTTAATAGTGACAATTCCCTAATTTTAAAAAATGTTTATTCAATTTATCCAATCTGGAAAACCCCCAACACATTCCACCTATTTTTCTTCTCCTTACCTCGCCCCCCCCCCCCCAACCCCATCCTCAGCCCACAGCTGGCAACCAACAAACTGAATCTATGAGCTTGTTTATAAGTATATTAGAGGCCTGGTGCACAAAACTCGTGCATGGTGTGTGTGTGTGTGTGTGTGTGTGTGTGTGTGTGTCTTAGCCCAGCCTACACCCTCTCCAATCTGGAACATCCCTCTCACAATCCAGGACTGCTGGCTCCCAACTGCTCGCCTGCCTAGTTGCCCCTAACCGCTTCTGCTTGCCAGCCTGATCTTCCCCTGCCAGCCTGATTGACACGACTGCTCCCCTGCTGGCCCGATTGTCCCTAACTGCCCTCCCCTGCAGGCCATCTTGTGTCCACATGGGGGCAGCCATCTTTGTGTTGGAGTGACGGTCACTTTGCATATTACTCTTTTATTAGATAGGATTATTCCACATATAAGACACATTATACAGTATTTGTATTTCTCTTTCTGGCTTATTTAATTTAGTGTAGTCTTTGAGGTCCATCCATGTTACATATGACAAGATTTCATCTTTTTTATGGCCGGGTAATATTCCATTACATATATACATATGTGTGTGTGTATCACAATTTCTTTATTCATTTATCTATTGATGGGTACTTAGATTATCTTGGCTATTGTAAATGCTGCAGTGAATATGCAGGTGCATATTATCTTTGAAGTGCTATCTTTGTATTGGTTTTTTTTTTTTTGGATGAATACCCGGAAATGGAATTGCTGAATTTAGTAGAAGAAATAATCACCTCTCCCAGCTTGAAGGAGTGGCCTCCTCATTCTGTCTTGTCATTCAGCACAGCCTCAGCTTTTGGTTGACTCTCAAACCTTTGTGCTTGTCCAAGCAGCCAACTACATCTTTAATAGCTCCCAGTAGTTGAACATATGCTAAGACCTGTCAGTGTCCCAAAAGGGTGGATCTCAGGCTGACTGGATGCCATACCCTCAGGCATCAGCTTTGTATGCAGATGTACAGTCATGTGGGACTGAATGAGTAAGCCCCACTGGCCACCAGAGCCTGGCAACAGAAATCAGGACTTGTATATTTTTATATAGCTGGAGGGTAGGGTAATTGGGGCAGTGGAGGAATGAGGATAAGGTTTGAAAAATTATGCTGCAACAATTATTACTGGGTGTTTGCCTAATGATGAATTTGTTTCCATCATTCCTTCTACATTTATCAATTGAAGGAATCCCTTCTCCCCACTTATTTATTCAATTATATCCTTATATCAGGATGGACTGATAGAATTTATTTTTTATTTTGTCTTATGGGTTATTTATCCATTACCTTATTAGGCTGCCAATTATTTAACAGAAGACAGAAACAGTACCATTAAGTACTTATAAGTGCTTTCAAATGTAAGTCCCCATATCTAACGTGACTTATCTTAATTTATAAGGAGAAATGGTATTAAAATTTTAATATTGTAACTTATATCAGGGTAAGATTTACCTATTATTCACACAATTCAGTTGCCAAATGCTTTGTGTATTTACAAGTCCTCCCTACCCCCACCCCAATTAAGGGGCTTGGAGGGAGTAGAATATGAAGCTGGCCCAAGGCTAGCAATTAAGGTAAGAGCTTTATCTTCCTGCTCAGTCAGTCTGTGTGCAAAGTACATCCACTAAATATAGTTTAGTAAAGTCAAAAGATTGTGTAGAGTTAGCTGACTGGAACCAGGGGGAAAATTCCTTCAGATACTAGTAAGTGATACCATTTTGAAGGCACCTATATTATTTTATTCTTTCCAGGTTTGAACTCAATAAAAGGAAACTGTCACAATTTTTGTACTGCTGTTCATAAAGATGTAACTTATGGGGAACTGAAAAACCTCTTGAGTTCCAAGAAAATTATGTTAATTGATGTTAGAAACGCATCAGAAATCCTTGAAAATGGAAAAATCCCTGGGTCAATCAATATACCATGTAAGTGACACGTATCTTAATCTGATTAATTTAAAAAAATAGATATTCAGCCAATTTACTGTGGATAAAATTTGAGATTCTTTCTTTCAGTGAAGGAGGTAGGTGAAGCTCTGCAAATGAACCCAGAAGACTTCAGAGAGAAGTATAATGGAATAAAGCCATCCAAATCTGATCATCTAATGTTTTCCTGTGGAGCTGGAATGAGAAGCAAGAAGGCTCTGGACATAGCATTATCTTTGGGCTTTACCAAGTATGTAGATGAAGGTTAACAATGGATTCAAGAACATATACTGTAATGTTTCATATGTATTATGTTATCAGTCTATTGAATTTCTTTAGTAATGTCACAATAGCAAGAGGAAGAGTCTCTATCTTTTCATAATGCTCAAAAGCAACACAATCTTTTAAATAGGCTTAAAGTCTAAACAGTATGGTGAATAGCCCATCGCATCTCTCAATCTCTAGTTTCCATCAACCTTGTTTTATGAAGCAGGAAAAAAAATGTTTACAGCACTAATTGATGTATGTTTTTAGGTCTCAACACTATGCTGGAGGATGGAAGGAATGGTCTACCTATGAACATACAGAGAAGAAACAAGGAAACTGATGTTTGGAATGCAAGCTGGCTCTTGCCTTATGTACATGCAGCCTACAGTCATGGAATGAGCAAAAGAATAAAAATCTAACTCTGGCACCACTGGCTAATGGGAAGGGGATTTTGTATTAGTCAATTAATTGTTGAATCTTTTTCTCAACTGTAAATTGAGAATACCACTTCCCACCCTGGCCTGGTAACTCAGTTGATTATTGCATTGTCCCATATGCCAAGGTTGTGGATTTGATTTCTGGTCAGGGCACATACAAGAGCCAATCAATGAATGCATAAATAAGTGGAACATACTGATGTTTCACTCTTTCTACAAAAAAATAAAAAATAAAAAAGAGACTACTACTTCCCCCTGCCTACTTGCACAGGCTATTGAGGATTAGGATACTATTAGTGACTTGCCATGAAATTTAAGGGTTGGGACTCCAGGAATTAATTTGTAAATAGGTTACTAGAGTTCAGTAGTATTTCAAAAAACCAAATTACTACTTGGATTTTCTAATCATGTGTATATGTGTTAGTATACCAATCAGAGGCTATACATTAGACCAGATTAATAAACAGATGGCCTTAAAATACCAAGAATCTGGAATCCTCATTAAGTAGTTGAAATAATAAACAATGGAAACATATTAACAGCATCCAAACACTTATGGCAGTGTTGTGAATAGCATGGTAGTGATAAAATTTTCAATTTAAAAATAGGAATCAAAATCAGAACAGTGGCTGCTTCTATTGAGGAAAGGAAAGTAACTAGAAAGGAGGGAAATTTCTAGGGTAATAGAAATGTCATATCTTGATGTGTTGGTACATACATTACCAAGACACATTGAAGTGGACACTTGAAAACATACATTTTCTGTATCATTAAAAAATACATATATATTAGTGACCTGGTGCATGAAATTTGTGCAGGAGGGCCAGGGGCGGGGGGGTGTTCCTCAGCCCGGTCTGCACCCTCTCCAATCTACGACCCCTTGAAGAATATCCTACTGCAAGATTAAAGGGATTGGGCCTGAAACGGCAATAGGACATCCCTCTCACAATCCAGGACTGCTGGCTCCAGCCGCTTACCTGGCTGCCTGCCAGCCCCCCAAATACTCCCCTGGCTCTCCCTCCCCCCGCTGCTGATCTGCTTACCCTACCTCTCCTCCCCACAGGCCAGCTTGCCCCCAAATGCCCCCTGCTGGCCTGCTCACTACAAACTGCCCACTCCTGCTGGACTGATCACCTCCAACTGACCCCCATTGATGGCCTGCTCATCCCCAATTGGCCCCCCTGCTGGTCTGCTTATCCCCAATGACCCACCCCCTACCAAACTGATCACCCACAACTGCCATCCCATTCTGGTCCCATTCTGGCCTGATCACCCCCCCCCCCCCACCCGGCGACCAAAGCTCGCAGCCCCTTTTATTCTTTCTGAGCACCTTCTTGAGCAGAGGCCAGGGCCAGCTGGAAGCAAGTATCTGGGATTTATATTCTGCAATTGAAACTTTGTATCCTTGAGTGGAGACCAGAGACAGTCAGGGCAGGCTGGAAGCTTGGCTTCCTCCATTGCTGGGGACAACCCAAGCCTCTTGCTCACTTCAGCTCCGTGGCAGCGGCCATCTTGGATCAATTTGCATACTTGCGCCTGATTGGTGGGTGTGGATTGTGGGCGTGGCAGAGGTACAGTTAATTTGCGTGTTTCTTTTATAAGTGTAGACACTATCTAATAAAAGTATAATATGCAAATTGACCATCACTCCAACACAACAAAGATGGCTGCACCCATGTGGACACAAGATGGTCACCACAAAGATGGCCAGCAGGAGAGGGGAGTTGGGAGGGACCAGACCTGCAGGGGAGGGCAGTTGGGTGCGATCAAGCCTGCAGGGGAGAGCAGTTAGGGGGGACCAGGCCAGCAGAGGAGGGAAGTTGGGGGCAACCGGGCTGCAGGGAAGGGCAGTCGGGGGAGACCCAGGCTTGCAGGGGGAGGAGTTAGGAGTGACCAGGCCAGCAGGGGAGAACAGTTAGGGGCAATCAGGCTGACAGGGAAGCAGTTAGGCATCAATCAGGCTGGCAGGGGAGTGGTTAGGGGGTGATCAGCCTGGCAGGCAAAAGTAGTTAGGGGCAATCAGGAAGGCAGGCAGGTGAGTAGTTGGGAGCCAGCAGTCCTGGATTGTGAGAAGCATGTCCGACTGCCTGTTTAGGCCCGATCCTACCTCTCCACAACAAAAGCCCTCTTAGCACAAGTGAATAATATTTAGCCTTAATTTTAAACCTTTTGAAATTACCCACTTGATTAACTATAGGATTTAATACTTATCTAAAGAAAAAGGACTCATCTCAGAAAACAACATAAGGCAGATTAAAAAAGATAAATATTCAAGACACTGATCAATATAGCTGCAGAACGTACTTTTATTTTTGCAGTTTTATACTAGGAAATCAACATTTAATTTCATTGTTCACAATTGATTCATAAAACTTTAATCCTTAAATTGTACATCAATATCCTATGACTCTAAATTTTATAACTCTCCTTCAAGTCTGAAGAAAATTATTAATTTATTAATTTCCACAGACAGCACAGTCCCACTGACATAACATTTAATCTTAAATCTTTCGCTCGTATGAGAATTAAGAATGGCCAGTGCCTAACTGGCTTGAAACCTGATTGTGTTCCTGGCTCAGGATACCTGTAATAAATTTGTAAATCCACACTAAGACATAAAAATAAACTAGAGTGTGTATGTCATATAAAAAACTTTTCACAGTAGAGTAAAAATTAACATTAAAATGTTATCAAATTTCAACCATTTTATGTTTTATCCAATTAGCTTTCTAAATGCCTGATTAAACTGAGTCAAATGTAAATAACTTCATGTAGGTTTTTTAAAAAAGTTTGCCCAGCATTTCAAAATGATTACACAATTAATAAAACTTTTAAAATGTCAAAGTATGCTATACATATTGCACTTTTCTGCGAGGCTGGGCTAGTATCTTTCATGGCAAGATACTAAAACTACTGAATAAAATACACTTTAAAAACCAATAGGTACTTGATTAATTTCCCTGAAATTATCAATATCATTATCAAAATCTTCCAGGATTTTGTAAGATTTGATTCCTTAAAATACAGTTTTAAAGTTTAAGTTAAGAAGGGGGAAACCCCTTATATAGTTCACTTTTTATGTCCTTTTTTGGTCCTTCAACGACCAAAGAGAATTTTAAACAAATTATGCTTCATGTTCCCTGGCTTAATAAAAAACTACAATTATTATTATTATCCAAATTAAGAAAAATTATGCTAAGCAAAAGCTATTAATTTTGAAATGTCTGTCTGTAGGTCCCCTTAGAAACTTTTCCAAACTTTAAAAAATCAAGAGCCTTTAATCAATTATGTACTAGAATCAAATTAGGTAAGGAAAACCTTATTTTGCAAAAATAAAATCACTTCCCAATATGCTTGACAGAAACAAGCTATTCGTGTTCATTTGTGTTCCATTGAAGACATTACTGAAATCTGTCCAATGGTTTATTTCCAACTGGTCCACTACGGAATTCTTCGGAATGTTTTAAGATTGGCTGTAGCTAGAATTCTGACTTCCATTTGGACCCTGCTCTCCTTCACTGTTCAAGTGGGGAAGAAAGAGATTTTATACCAATTAAAAGATTCATTTTCCACATGCTGATAAGCCTACTAATAACTTTAACATTAGCTATTCTGTAGTACAAACTTACAAAACAAAGACATTCCCAATTGTAAGACACAGATGTGGAAAAATTAAATCCAGAAGACTAACATTTGGTTTTATATTTTTATTCTTATATAACTTAGTGCCCTCACACATAACAAGCATTCTGGAAGTTAGTGTCCATATACATTCAAAAAATTTAAATTAGGGTATGGGATTTCATTGTCATTACAGGTATCACTCAACATATAGATTAGAGTTTCTGAACAAATTTCCTATAAAATTAAATCTTACACATAAAATCTTATTTCTACTAACCAACTATGAAAATCAAGAAGTATTCTCCACCCAAAAAAATTACTATCCAAAGGCATACTAAAGTCATATGTAAACACAGCAAACCTTTATAAATAAAAATATGGTAATTCCCAGGAAAACGCTGAATATTCAAAATAAAAATAACTAAAACTGAAAATACCAGTATCTGTAGCAATAGGATTATTGCCTTATCTTGTCCACCATCATCTTGCAGCTTCAGGCCCTGCCACTATTGGAGAATCACTCAGGGAATTTCTGCAAAAAATGCATCCAAAGGTAGCTGTTTCCCAACAGTGACATTAACTTATCAAACCTACAAATCCTTCTCAATGTTTGATAACTTAAATATAAGTAATTAAGATGGGCACTATTTGTTTATTCCATTCTGACCTTGATTCCTACCCCACTGATGTACAGTGAAAGCTAAGAACCACTAAATGAACAGATCCTATTAACAACAAAAGCCCCCTTAGCACAAGTGATTCATATTTAACAGATTATGTTTATCGGGGGGTCATTTGGGGCACTCAAAAGTTAAACTTTTTAAAATCTTTATAATATCAGATCAATAATCTAATTCATAAAACAGGATAACAGCCAGTTATGGGGAAAAATAAAAGAAAAATGATGACAAAAAAAAAAAAAAGATGACATGGAGTCACACTGACTAAGGAATACTAAGGAATTCTTTATCTCTGAATTTCTGATAAACTGGCCTAATTCTTTCCTTTTTAAATTGTGTATAGTATCTAGCCATATGTTGAGGGATACCTGTAATAGACCTGCCATTGCATTAGGAAAAGTTACTAACAGATGATCCAATTAATATTTTAAAATGATTCATTCTCAATCTATCAAGTCAGAAATTTAAAAAAATTAATATTTACTGTGAAGTTTGGGGAGAAATTTTAAGGAAAAAAAAACCAATGTAATCTATGAAACAATGTGATAATATGTATGAAATATATAATTAAATGGAATCTATAATTAAAGTTTACAAAGTACCTGTTTGGAGGAGGTTTTGGTTTTGGCATCTTGCTAAGAATAGTTGCCATCTCTTTTCTCTCATCAAAATTCTTCCACTGTTCATATAGTTTTAAAATAACCCTGATTATTTCCAATATCTAGAAGAAAATATTTAAAAAGTTATCAGTGCCAAAATAAAGCAACATCTAGCATATAAAGAATACACATCAGAAATTACTCAGAAGAGTGAAAAGACAGAATGTCTGTTCTTAAGTATTCAGGCTAGACAATCCTGATAAATTAGTATTTGTATCACACTGCTATTAGGCTTTTCCTTCTGGCCTCTCATCTATTAACATGTATGCCCTGTCCATCCTTATCCATCTTTCTGCAGTTAGTTTCCTTCCATCTGCTGATATCTAAACCAAAACAAAATAGTGAGGTCCTAGAAATAGAGGTCTACATCATGAACTTTATCACTACACAGTAGTTTCAAACAATTTAATGGAAAGTAATGCAAAAAGATATTGTTTTGATTTTGTTAACTACGGTAAACAAGGTGCTAAAAAATTGCCAGCTACAAATCTGTCATATCCAGTTTCCAAATTAACTCTTTCTTTCTCACCTGAGTAGACCTAACCTTGAATTAATTGTAACACTACCAACATTTTAGCAGGAAAGATGGAAAAAAGGGCAAAAACTGTGACCCATAAGTTTATAGTACTACTAGAGGCCTGGTGCACTTGGGGTGGGGGCGGTCCCTCAGCCTGACTTGTGACCTCTAGCAGTCCCGGGAGCCTTCGGGGGTGTCCAACTGCTGAGAAGGCGGGAGAGTCTCCCACCACAGCTACTGTGCTCGCCAGCCATGAGCCAGACTTCTAGCTGAGCAGTGCTCCCCCTGTGGGTGTACACTGACCATCAGTGGGCCGTTCCTGCATTGAGCATCTGCCCCCTGGTGGTCAGTGCACATCATAGCAACTGGTTTTTCTGCCATAGGGCCGAAAATGGGTTCTCCAAAATCCCCCGAGGGATCCCAGATGGCAATAGGGCGCAGGCCAGGCAGAGGGAGGTTGGCCAGCCATGAAGGGACCGTGGGAGGGCTCCAGGGCATGTCTGGCCCACCTTGCTCAGTCCTGATCAGCTGGACCCTAGCTGCAAGCTAACCTCCCAGACCATCTGCCCACTGGTGGTCAGTGCACATCATAGAGAATGGTTGAGAGGCCTTAGCATATCATTAGCATATTACGCTTTGATTGAACTGATGATTGGACAACTGGACACTTAGCATATTAGGCTTTTATTATATAGGATTTTGTGTTCACTAGTAGCTTTTAAGATAATCCTGAAGATGAGAGGCTGCTCTTCAACTAATCAAACTAAAAGTTTACCATTCTGCTTAAGCCTAAAATGAAAAGAGAAAGAGAACCTTAGTCTTCTTGCTAAACATGTTTCTTCTTTTTTAGTTTTATTTTTTACCAAAAACTTTTTTAGCCTGATCTGAGCCTTAAGATTTTAGTAAATATGACATTAACTTTAAAATATTCAAGTTTATATTCCACTAAGGGAATTTTTAAAGAATACCTTCTCCATATCCACAGAAAGCTCAGCAAACCACTGTCTGGCATCTTTCTGCTGTACAACACAGGCTACATGTAGGCAAGCTGGAAAGAAAATAGAAACAAAGGCCCATGCTTAACTTATAAACTTTCAATGTATGGACTCAGAATTAAAGGTAAAAATTTCTCTTATTTTTCATGTATATTTTCTAATATTCTTTTTTTTTATTTTTTAAACATTTACTTTATTTTATTGAATTTTTACAGAGAGGAGGAGCAAGGGATAGAGAGTTTGAAACATTGATGAGAGAGAGTCATTGATCAGCTGCCTCCTGCACATCCCCCATTGGGGTTGTGCCTGCAACCAAAGCACATACCCTTGACCAGAATCGAACCTGGGACCCTTAAGTCTGCAGGCCAATGCTCTATCCACTGAGCCAAACCGGTTTTGGCTCCAATATTCTTTTAAAAAACTTCATAGATTCATGAAACCGGTTTGACTCAGTGGATAGAGCGTTGGCCTGCAGACTTAAGGGTCCCAGGTTCGATTCTGGTCAAGGGCATGTACATTGGTTGTGGGCACATCCCCGGTGGGGGGGGTGCAGGAGGCAGCTGGTCGATGTTTCTAGCTCTCTATCCTTCTCTCCCTTCCTCTCTGTAAAAAAATCAATAAAAAATATATGTAAAAAAAAAACACAACTTCATAGATTCATATGATAGTTACCATTGACTATGCCATCAATTTAACCTCATACAGACAGAAAAATTATCCTACCTAATAAAACAGTAATATTAGTTATTAGTATATCAAAATAGGTGAAAACTGGGCACATTAGTACAAATTGAGTGTTGTAATAAAATAGAGCTTAGAAAAAATATATAATGTTTTGTATATAATTATATATAATACATTACTAGAGGCCTGGTGCACAAATTCATGCATGGATGTAGTCCCTTGGCCTGGCCAGTGATTGGGGCTGTGGGTGGTTGGCTGGCTGTGGGGAGCGGCCACAGGAAGTTGGCTGTAGGAGCACACTGGCCACCAGGGAGCAGCCCCTGTGATGAGCAACTTTGGATTTAATGGACAAAATTTCAGGTCCATATGACATTTGTCAAAATTTATAACCCATTAATTCTAAAATGTTTTAAAGCAAGATTTGCTTACAATTAACAGGTTATTTTTGTCATTAATGGTTATTCTAAATAAATTTAGTGAAATTAAACTTCAAAATATGTAAGTATAACCTATGTGCTACCTGTGATATGAGAAGGATAAGAAACATTAACATTAAAGGAATAATTTAAAAAAGAGAAAACAGTAAGCCTGGACTGTTAAAGAATGAGGGCAGTGATCAAGAGTCTAGAATCATGGATATCAAGAGAGAAAAGAACTGGAACAAAAAGTAGTAAGTGCTTAATATAAAGCAGACAATATTTGGTTTTCTATAAGGTATCTCATTTAATTCTTACAACAAATCTGTATGGAGCTGTTAGTATCCCCACGTTTTACAATTTAGAAAACAAACTAAGAAAGTTCGGTAATTTTCCCACAATTATAAAGGAAGCAAAGTTTAAACCTTGGGTCATCTGATTCCAAGACTGTGTTCTAACCCATTACAGTACTGCCTTCCACAGATAATAAAATGGTAGCTAATTTATCCCTCCTAAGAGGCGTTAAGGACCACAGAGGCTCCTTTACTCAACCTCTAAGGACTTTATTCTGAACTTTTCTCCCTAACCAAACACTGATTAAAATTACTTTAAATGATTTAAAAAAAAAAAAAAAAACTTAACAAAAAATAAGGGTGTGTGTGAAGGGGGATAATAATCTTGATTTGTGGCAGTTTCAGTTCATATTATTGAAAACTTACATGCAAGGATTAGTCTATTACTTCATGAAATACAAAAACAAAAGTACTACAGGGTGAAATTTCTTTTCTTTTTTTTTTGTGTGTGAAATTTCTTTTAGGATGATCTAAATAGGTTTATAACAATTTAACTAATAAAGGTAATCCACACTTACATACCTAAAGCTATCATGAAAGGAGGATACAGTAGGCAAAGATCCGTTCTGTAGGTATCATTCACTATCCTCCTATAGAAATGTAAACCATATTATTACTGAAAGCAGAACTACCTCATATGATTATACATTTCCCTCCAGAGAGGGCTGTATTTCCCATCTTTGCACACAATATTTCTCTTTTAAATTACTGAAACACAGATATAAAGGTGAAAATATCACGGGAAAAAGATGGATACATGAATGATTCAATAAATAAGCATGTTTTAATGAATAAAATGAGAGCTAAATATATTTTAAAATTTAAAACCTCACAATAAATTTTAAAGATTTTTTCTAATTTTTTAAAAATTAGAATATCAGATAGGAAACCAGAAATCATACAATGAATATGTACACTGAATACTACTAGAAAGTATTCTGATAATTTTAAAGGTAAGTGATTTTTTTATATAAACAATCTATTTTTCATAATAATCAAATTTTAATAGAAATATTCATCAAATTGATAAAAAAATTTTATTATTTGTACCAATATAGTTATTAAAATTAAATAAGATTTTTTTCAACATAAAATATCTTGGGGCACTACTTTAATTACTTTAAAAATACTAAACTTAATATTTAGTCATTAATCTTCCTAGCTAATAACAAGTTATACTATGAATAACTTCTATTCTAATTACCATGCAAGAGGAAGTAACATGTCTTCTTGGCCCATGTCTTGCACATACTGGAGCAAAGGTCTGTAAGGATGATACACTATCAAGCAACAATCCTAGAAACAGTTTAAAAAATGTGTATGTATAAAAACAGATTTTATTACAACACAAAACCTTATCATTACCCTACTGATTTATAATTATGTATTTCTCTAACTCATGCTTGCTTTCCTCTTATTGTCTTAAAAAACCAGTATGGTAGCCCTAAACTACTATAATAGAGAAGGCAGTGCTCTCTCTGAAATATACTTTGGCAAATCGGTTGGCAGTCAGTCAGCATCCACTCCCTTAGAGAGTCAAAGTGTCACCTCTGCAATACACTGAAACCTTATTAGCCTATAAATCCATAATTCCCACCTGGAGGATCAGAATTCTGCCAAAGACATAACCTATCTTTAAATAACACCACACAAATACACAAATTGTGCACATAATTGACAGTGGTTTAATGTCCTGATCAGTTTGCTTTTATATTATAGTTACTACAGAACAGAAAAACATTCCCATCCTTAGTAGGCTATACAAACTCTTTACAGGCTTCCAAGAGGATCCAAGTGTTGATGCTACTACCCTGTTTCCCCGAAAATAAGACAGTGTCTTAATTTTTTCTCCCCAAGTTGCGCTAGGTCTTATTTTCAGGGGATGTCTTATCTTTCCATGCGCTAGGTCTTATTTTCGGAGGATGTCTTATTTTCGGGGAAACATGGTAGGTACTATGATTTCACCATCATGTATCACATCACTTAGATGGTTTTAAAGTGCAGCTCCCTATAAATATTTCTTTAAATAATTTCTAACTTCAATACATAAGTTTTATTCTATTAATCACAGGGAAAAAATATACTTACCATTAGTTCTAAAAGATAGAATTCACATTCTAATATCTGTTTAAAAAAGATTATAAATGTCAACATTAAGTAAAATTAGATGAATCTACTTATTCTAACAATTTATAGGCATAGTAATTTATCACAGATCTTTACTAAAAAATTTTAAATCAACAAAATAAACAGAGTAACTCATATTATAGTTAACTTATGCAATAAAATGATTACTACATAATGCATGTGATTATGATTTTAAAGCATTTTAATTCCTAAAAAAAACCCAGCCTCATACACATCTTATACTTCTTTTTATTTAAAATATCCTATATAAACTTCAAATTTTACAATATACAAAAATGCAATTATCTTAAATGTTATTGTTATTATATTATAAACAAGGAAAAGGAAAGAATGCTAAAAAATGAAACAAAAAAATAAAGTTAAATGGAATTAAGAAATCTCTTGCAAGGTGGAAAAGAACATGCCTATAAAAAATGTCAATAGAGATTTATCTTCTAACACAATGTGGAATTTCAAATATGATTTTCATACTATTCCATAGTAGCTCCAACTGCACCTTGGCATCATCTGAGAGCTTTTAGGAATACCAGTCTCCAGAACTCAAGACTGAAAATCTTCATTTAGTTGGTCTGGAGAGGTCCTGACATCAGTATTATTAGGTTCTCAAAGTGTTTTAACAGACACCCGAGGTTTATAACCACTGCTATGAAGTATTTTTAAAAATAATAGAAACAATTTAGCATTAATTTAGAATTAAAGTCTATTTTGTAGTATTTGAAACTACCATTTTAGATTATTCAGTTTATTTTAATGTAAAATGGAGCTAGTTTATAAGCAACTTTGACAAACAGTTTTACTTGGTACAATATACTTACATGGTTCATCCTATAAGGAAATTCCTTTGGAAAGGCATATGAAAATCTAGTTTTTACTGGAGGAAACAAAAACACACACAAATAACAGTAAATGAGAAAATGAATTAACCCGAAATTTCTTTAATATTTTGCATAGTACTAAAGGTAGGGCTAAGTCATTTTTAGTAGGGAGCTTGGAGACACTTCGAACCCACATTTGTTTTTGTTTTTAGGTGAGCAGAATGAGTGCAGGAAGCCCAGGCACCCACCCATATTATAATTACAGAGCCTCAGTTAAATAACGCTGTAACCAAATAGGAAAATGTACTTTTTTTCAGGAATAACTTTTTATCCCTGACTAATTTGGCTCAGTGGATAGAGTGTTGGCCCATGAACTGGAAGGTCCCAGGTTCGATTCCAGTGAAGGGCATGTACCTTGGTTGTGAGCACATCCCCAGTAGGAGGTGTGCAGGAGGCAGCTGATTGGATGTTTCTTTCCCATGGATGTTTCTAACTCTCTATCCCTCTCCTTTCCTCTCTGTGGAAAAATCAATAAAATATGTGTGTTTGTTTTTTAAAAAGAACTTTTTTATCCAATATCCTTAAGCCAAAACTTCTATGTGATCGTTTAACTTAGAAGGAATCTGTTCACAAACTTACATTTATATCATTGGCTTCACATTTCTAAGAGGATGTTTTATGGGTACATTTACAACTAGAATGTCTAAGATTAAATTCTTTTCAAAACACACAAGTTCACAAGTTATAAACTGAAAAACATCTAAGCCCTATGGGGCTCTCCTAAGAATTACATCCTTACAGCAGATATACTTTTTGCACTTACATACAGAAGTAGCAGCAGCAGTCAGTCTTGTATTTGAGACAACTCCAAATTCCTAGAGGAAAAAAAAGGGGACAAGATCAGGTACATAGAAAGCCAATGAACCCAAGGGTATCTGAAATCTATTCAAAACAGAACATTTCCTGTGTTTTCCCCATGTTTATAATTTATTTATTTTTAACCCTCACCTAAAGACATTTTTTCCCAATGATTTTTAGAGAGAGTGGAAGGGAGGGAAGAGACAGAGAGAAAATCATGTGAGAAACATTGATGAGAGAGACACATCAACTGGTTGCCACTGGCAGGTGTCCCAACCATGACTAGTATGGAGCCTACAACTGAGATATGTGCCCTTCACTGGAATTGAACCTGCAACCCTAGAGGGCCAACATTCTAAGCACTGAGCCAAATCGGCCAGGGCTCTCCCCATGTTTATATTGTCTATTCAGCTTCCACCTACTTGAGGTATGATGCACTTAAATCTATAAATGTATTACCTTTCTTTAAAATTGCTACAATTTAAGTGTTTAAATAATCTATACTAATAAAAGGGTAATATGCTAATTAGATGCCATTCAGGACATCCTTCCCAACAATGGGGGTGTGTGTGTGTGTGTGTGTGTGGCTGGCCTGCAAATTGTCTGTGGCCCCTCACCCTGACCTGGGGCCCCCTTCAGGGCAGGCCAACTGGCCCCAACCCGTGCACCAGGTCTCTATCCTATATAATAAAAGGGTAATATGCAAATTGACCCTAATGACAGAACAAACGCTGGACCAGTCACTCTGAGGCGCACTAACCACCTCTTGGTTCCTTTCCCGGCTGGTAGGCTCTGATCGCCTGATGGCCACCCACGGCGGAGGCAGGACGGGGAAGAGGGCATGAACAACCGACCTTTTGGTTCCTTCCCTTGGCTGTCAGCCTGATCACGAAGCAAATGGGGAGCCACAGGTGGGTGGTGGGGCCAGCTGTCGGCAGCTGGGGAAGATGACCCTGATTGCAGACCTAGGGACTATACCCATGCACAAATTTTGTGGCTGGCCTCTAGTTTTAACTGAACATCACTGAAAGATACCAGATTAGAAACCAGAGACATGATAGTTTTCTGCACTCAAATTAGCTTCCAAGATTTTTTAGATTCTATCCTTAACTGAAAAAATATTAAGTGTTGTTCTAATTCAATTGGACTAACAGATATTTCATACCATTTAATAATAAAGCAGTTGAATTTCTGAAGAAAATAAACTTTAATATCACCAAAAGACCACACAATTATTCTTTTTGGAACAGCAAGAAAAGAATGAATGATACAAGACTTGCAATGTCAGTTCCCATTTCTTCTTTGAGTTTAACATACCACCATTGTAAAAATGACTAAAATTTATGAGGTGATCCACCTTACATATATTGCCTCATTTAATTTAATCAACCTAATAAGATTACTAAAGACTTCATTTCATTTAAAAAAAATTAAGAATTGGTTCCTTAACCAACAAAGAAACTAAACTAAATCTATTCAAATACCTTCAACCTATATCCTTATCCTTGGGCAATGGGGGGACAGACGGGGCAGGTATGTGTGTATATGTATTTATATTCACACTATATTCACATTTAAACTCAAACTATAATAACTAAGATTAAAAAGTAAACACCTGAGACATCTCCTTAAGTACCATTTCCATTCAATTTCTACTGGACAAAACAAAGAAATATTTGGTCATAAAGATGAAAAAAAATAATGCTATAACCAAATATGAAGATAAATTTTTTTAGAGAATAATTTTTTATTATTTTTTGGATAAAAATAATTACACACACACACACACACACACACACACACACACGATTGATTTTAGAAAGAAAGGGAGAGGAAGAGATAACAAAGGTAACAACATCAACGACAAGAAAGAATCATCAATCAATTGCCTTCTGCATGCCCCCTACTGACACTGAGCCCAAAACCAGGCCATGTGCCTTGACCAGGAATTGAACCTTGACCTTCGTAAGTTGAGGCTCAACCACTGAGCCACACCAGCTGGGCCAGTGGTCAGCAAACCACGGCTTGCAAGCCACATGCGGCTCTTTGGCCCCTTGAGTGTGGCTCTTCCACAAAATACCATGTGTGGGCACGCAAGTACAGTGCGATTGAAACTTTGTGGCCCATGCGCAGAAGTCAGTTTTTGGCTCTCAAAAGAAATTTCAATCGTTGTACTGTTGATATTTGGCTCTGTTGACTAATAAGTTTGCCGACCACTGAGCTGAGATATCCAAAATTCTTAAGGCGAAAATTTTCACTCAATAAATTACAAAATAGGGTTCTACTTAGAAAATCATATAACAAAAAAAAATAAAAAGAACCAAAACCAGTTTGGCTCAGTGGATAGAGCAATCAGCCTGTGGACTGAAAGGTTCCAGGTTCATGTACCTTGGTTGTGGGCACATCCCCAGTGGGGGTATGTGTGTGTGGTGCAGGAGGCAGCTGATTGATGTTTCTCTCTCATCAATGTTTTTAACTCTCTATCCCTTGCCCTTCCTCTCTGTAAAAAATCAATAATATATATATATATATATATATATATATATATATATATATATATTTTTTTTTTTTTTTTTTTTTTTAAAGACAAATTAAGAGCCGAAGTTTATAAAATTTTGTCTAGGTTCCCACACTGATTTGTGCTTCAAATACATTAAATTACATTATAATACTTGGAAAAAATCACTCCACAATACAGGCCTTTTATAAACATTTTATCTTCCATTGAAGAAGTTAACAGCTAAGCTGGTTCTGCTTCCTTAAACTATCACTTACAATTAGAAAACCTTAAACTTCTAGAAAGCTTGTATTAATGTAATTTTTAATAGCATCAACTCTCATTATTTTAGGTAATAGGTAGGAAAGATACCTATTACCTAGAAATGGCTAAAATAAAATTCAAAATGAATATTAAAAAGAATGTAAACCTAGTTAAAATTATATTCAATACAATTACTATTCTAAAGATGTAAGCTAAAAACAGAAATATAACATAAAAGTTTCATAATGCTAAAGACTACATAGATTATGTAGACCAGTCAAAATTTGTTACTATTATCTGGATTTTACCTTACTAAAAAGGTAAATAAGGTCGCCAAAGATTTGGTTTCAGCTGCCAAGTTTTCATCTCTCTTCTCTCTCCCTCACCTAATTTATCTACTCTCACTGCCAAAATGATTCCTCATTAGAATCTACCCCCAATCCTTGTCTTTTCCTTGCTTTCTCTATGGGTTGGTGAGAAGCCAATCAATCATCAAGAGGCAGGAAGGTAATACGGTATGACATAGAAACCAAATGGAGAGATACTGTCCAGTTAAGGTTAAGAACTTTGGCACTTATGGAATACTACTTCATGCCAAACAATAAATGTCTTAGGGGCAGTACAGCAAAGCAGTTATGTGCATGGGATTATGAGCTAGACTCCCAGGATTCAAATAATTAGCTTTGCTGCTTACCAGCTCCATGATCTTAGGCAAGGTTCTTAATCTCTCTGCCACTCAATTTCCTCATTTATATATCTACTAGAGACCCAGTGGATGAAAATTCATGCACTTGGCGGGGGTGTCCCTTAACCTGGCCTGTGTCCTCTTCACAGTCCAGGACCCCTTGGGGGATGTCCACCTGCTGGCTTAGGCCCGTTCCCCAGGGGACTGGGCCTAAGCTGGCAGTCAGACATCCCTCTGTCAGCCCAGGAGCCTTTGGGCGATGTCCAATTAACGGCTTAGGCCTACTTTTACATCCTTGGCACTGCTGCGGAGGCGGGAGAGGATCCTGCCACCGCCACTGTGCTGTCCAGCCATGAGCCAGCTTCTGGCTAAGCAGCGCTCTCCACGTGGAAGTGCACTGACCACCAAGGGGCAGCTTCTGTGTTGAGCATCTGTCCCCTGGTGGTCAGTGTGCGTCATATAGACCAGTCATTCCCAGGTCATTCCCTTGTTAGGGTCAATTTGCATACTACCCTTTTATTATATAAGATATATCTCTTTGTTATGAAAATTTAGTCAGTTAGTTATAAAAGGACTTAAAATAGCACTTGATACACAGTAAGTGCTATATAACTTTTTGTTAAATGAATATATAAATAACATATGTGTATATTTCTTTGATTTTGGTACAAATTTCAATATTTTGCATAAATCACCATCTATTATTATTTTTACATAGGTAATGTGAAAACTGGGGATTAACCAATACACATTGACTATACTTAATGAAAAATAGAAAACTATTTCATACCTCTACTTTGGATGCCAAAAACACACACGTAGGAGCCATTAATACAGGATCTATACTTTTCAGAGAATACCTTAAATACAGTAAAACAAAGTTACATGTAGAAAAAACCTGGAAAAAATTAAGGTAACTATGGCAAACACATGATTTATCTATGCTAAGGTTCATCAAAATTACATGTTTCAAATAAGCATAATATTTCCAAAATGAAACAGTCCTACCTGGCATAGAATCTCTTGAAATAGACTGTAGCAGTGGCAATAACTTGTTGTCTTAATTTAAGATGTTCACCTAATGCTTGGATAACTAAAAAGAAAAAGTTTTCAATGTATTTTCTGATATCCATGTGGTTAAATCATAACTATATTCATTTCTAACATAGAGGAAAAACCTACACATCCTATAAAGCTCTGCTTTGATAAGAGTGCTAATACTAGAATTTACAAAATTATATGGATATGCATAAATAAAAGCAAAAAAATTGAATTGCTCAACAGCAAACACTATTCTTGTATTAAAAAAGGTTGAAAGATAGGAATTTCTCCTCTACCTTCTAAGAATTTCAATGCCTCTCATTATTTTTAGAACATGAAAAGATAAATACCTATCAAACTCACTATAACTACCAACTTATAAAATTTACTTACAAATCCATAATGAATTCTCAAAACAAGAGGTAGGTTTGCAGAAGAGTGAACAGGTTAGAAAGATCATGTGACAAAGATACCAGATAGCAGAACAAGAATCTTTCGCCTCTAAATCCCCTTCTCTCCAAAGCAAACTTATAAGAGAGGCATGCCCAATATAGGATATCAATCCAAAGAATCATTTATCCTCAAAATAATCTGCTCTAGCTAATCTTAAATTGAGTTTAATAATGCATTGTAAAGGCTTAGAAAGAATAACGAGTACTTTGAAACTGTCTTGAATGTTTCTGACATTAAGATTCAAAAACGAAAAAAAAAAGATTAAAAAACGACTTTACTTAGATGAGTATTAGTTGTAAAAAGGTTACATGTATAAATAAAAATGTTAAGTAGGGACTAAAACAGCTCATCACAAATTACTGCACAAAAATATTTTAATTCAGAGGTACCATTTCAACTAATTAAAATTTTTCTTACCATTTGTAAAAAATATTTGTAATTTCCAATATTCTTCTTCTGAGAGAAACTTTAAGTCCTTTTGGCGTTCCTTCAACAGATCTTGTTCATCCAAAATCCATTGCAAACTAGAAGAAGCAAAGATGTTAAACATGCTATAGAAAATCAATGAAGAGATAGAAAATATTCTAAGTTCAAACAAGTTATTATCATTCTGAGAAATACAAAGTACACATAACCCTGAAAAACATTATTTTCCACATTTCTTGAAATTCACAACACTGAGATTTATTTTGCTAATAAATGTAAACATGCCTTGAATTTTTATTTAAATCTTTCCTCTCTTCCTTCTCAGTCTCTCTGTCACTAGTTTTATTGTATTTTCATTGATACTAAGATTCTGATAAAAAGATGCATTTTACAATCAGTGGTGCCTCAGCCTTTTAAGTGGTCCTACTTTTATTCTTTCTTAGTAATACATATAATAATGGTGAAGTTTTTTGGCACCACCTGATGGTACCTTAGATTTGATGAAGTACATTTTTTATCAGTTGTTCATGTTAATTGGAATATTTAATTTTCCTACCTCACCATTTCAAACATGTCAAAAGCTGCTTCAGAATTTATTCACTGACAGCCTCCTTCCTCTTGCCTAGTCTACTATTTTTAAAATATATATATTTTATTGATTTTCTTACAAAGAGGAAGGGAGAGGGATAGAGAGTTTTGAAACATGGATTGAGAGAAAAACATTGATCAGCTGCCTCCTGCACACCCCCTCCTGGGGATGTGCCTGCAACCAAGGTACAAGCCCTTGACCGGAATCGAACCTGGGACCCTTAAGTCCGCAGGCCGATGCTCTATCCACTGAGCCAAACTGGCTAGGATTTCTTACCACAAAATAGACTTCACAGAACAAAGGCTATAACAAGAGATAAAGAAGCCACTTCATAATACTAAAGGATTATGATTCAACAAAAAAAATGATTCAACAAAAAAATATAATCCTTGCAAACATATATGCACCCAATATAGGAGAACCCAAGTACATTAAAAAACTCTTCATGGACTTAAAGGGAGAGATTAACAGCAATTAAGTCATAGTGGGGGACTTTTAACACCCCCACTAACATCACTGGATAGATCTCCCCAACAAAAAATTAACAAGGAAACAGTGGCTTTAAGTAACACACTTGATTAGATAGATCTAACTGATAGTTAGCATCTTTTTGGATTACAATGGCATGAAGTTAGAAATCAACTATAATACAAAAACTCAAAAACCCTCAAATATATGAATGCTAAACCATATGCCATTAAACAATGAATGTACGATATTACCAAAGATCAAGCAAGAAATTAAAAACTTCCTGGAAACAAATGAAAATGAACACAGAACTACCCAAAACCTATGGGACATGGCGAAAGTAGTCATGAAAAAGTACACAGCACTACAGGCCTATCTCAAGAAACAAGAAAAAGGTCTAATGAAATATCTATTATAACACTACAACTAAATGAATTAGAAAAAGGACACAAAGAAAAGCCCAGAGGAAACAGAAGGAAGGAAATAATAAAGATCCGAGCAGAAATAAATGACATAGAGACTAAAAACCACCAACAACAGTACAAAAGATCAATAAATCCAAGAGCTGGTTCTTTGAAATGTTATTATAATAATTTTATATTTGAAAAGTGAAAGAAAAAAAACACAATTATTTTTACAAAACACTAGTAGCCCAGTGCACAAATTCATGCACACTGAAATGAAATTAATTAGAAGAAATATTTTAATATTACTACTGGCCCTTTCTCTATAACAGAAGTGTCAACCAAATTCACAATCGACAATGACAGATCAAAACAGATGCACGACTGGTGCCAGTGAGAGCTTTATACGTTCTGTGCATGCGCAAGTCAACCTAGCCTTTTATGTATATAACAGAGGCCCAATGCATGAAATTTGTGCAAGAGTAGGCCTTTCTTCCCAGCTGCTGGCATCTGGGCTTCCCTCTGGCCACCGGCAGGCAGCAAGGACCTGGACTTCCCTCACAGCCCTGGCTTCATCCACACGGTCATCTGGCCTAATTAGCATATTATCCTATCTAATAAAAGGGTAATATGCAAATTGACCACCACTCAAGATGGCTGCCCCATGTGGTAACAAAACAGCTGCCCCCATGTAGACACAAGATGACCACCACAAGATGGCTAGCAGAGGAGGGAAATTGGGAGCAACTGAGCCTGCAGGGAAGGGCAGTTGGAGGGGACTCAGGCCTGCAGGGGAGAGTAGTTGGGGGGGGGGAGGGTCCAGGCCTGCAGGGGAGGGCAGTTAGGGGTGACCAAGCCTGCAAGGGAGGGCAGTTAGGGGCAATCAGGCTGGCAGGAGAGCAGTTAGGCATCAATCAGGCTGGTAGGGGAATGGTTAGGGGGTGATCAGGCTGGCAGGCAGAAGCAATTAGGGGAAATCAGGAAGGCAGGCAGGCGAGCAGTTGGGAGCCAGCAGTCCTGGATTGTGAGAGGGATGTTCCAGACTGGAGAGGGTGCAGGCTGGTCTGAGGGACACCACCCATGCACGAATTTCGTGCACTGAGCCTCTAGTATATATAATAAAAGCCTAAGCAACTGTTGACCAGTGGAATGACCAGAATGACCAGTCTCTATGATGCATACTGACCTTCCGGGGGCCGACGTTCCATGCTAGAGCCGCCCCCTGGCAGTCAGTGCGCTCCCACAGGGGCAGCACAGCTCAGCCAGAAGCCGGGCTCATGACTGGTGAGCGCAGCCGCGGTGGCAGGAGCCTCTCCCGCCTCAGAGGCAGCACTCAGGAGCAGTGAGCTGAGCAAGAAGCAGTGAGCAGGCAGGCGGTAAGGAGCAAGGGGTTCTGGACTGGGTGCAGGCCAGGCTATGGGACCCCCCCCCCACATACCATGCATGAATTTCATGCACTAGGCCTCTAGTTATAGACATAAAAGCCAAGGGACTGGAAGGACCGGAATGAGGCACTGTGTAGTGACCATTGGCCCCTCCAACCTCCTGAAGCTCCTCCCCTGGCCACTCCTGCCCCTGATTGACCCCCTACATCCCAATTGGGGGCAGGACCAGCCAACCAACTGCCATGGCCCCTCCCCCATGCCCCACCACCCCCCGCTGGCCCAGTTCTGATCGACCCCCAATGAGGAAGGCTGGCCAGACCCCAATGCACGAATTTGTGCACCTGGCCTCTCGTATCCTAGATAATAAAATTGTAATATGCAAATAGACCGAACAGCAGAGTGACCATCACTATGACGCACACTGACCACCAGCGGACAGATGTTCAATGCAGGACACTCAGGCAGAAGCCAGGCTCACAGCTGGCAAGCCCAGCAGTAGGGGTGGGAGCCGCTCCTGCCTCCGAAGCTGCGCTAAGAACAGCAAGCTGGGCTCATGACTGGTGAGCGCAGCAGTGATGGCGGGAGCCTCTCCCACCTCCGCTGCAGGCGGGCGGTAAGGAATGAGGGGTCCCGGAGTGCACGAACCCCAGACTGCGAGAGGGATGTCTGCCTAACAGCTATCCCCCCCGAGGGGTCCCGGACTGCAAGAGGGCGCAGGCCAGGCTGAGGGACCCTCCCCTCAGTGTAAGAATCTTGTGTACTGGGCCTCTAGTATATAGAATAAACCTGCTTAATTAATTAGACTTGCTTTCTGATTTAGCTTAACTTTTGCAGCCCAGTGAAGCACCCCAACTTCTCTTTTAAGTATTTGTCAGCAACACAGCAGTAAATATGAACAGGAAGCAGATTATTATTATAGATCATGCAGGGAGAACAAAAGGTAAAATATTTAACTGCAGCAGGATTTGACTATATTTTGCACAGTGAGAAAACCCAAAGACATTTTCAAGGTCTACCATTTCTTACTTCTTTTCAGTCAGGTCAAGTTTCTAAATTTTATAAATCTGTTTTCCAGCTAACGTAAAGAAAATAGGATTCCACTGAGTCTCCTATTTACCTCCAGGGCTTCTGTGAGGATCAAATGAGATGAAGCATGGGAAAACGCTTCACAGACATTTGGTTAAAGTGTAAAATGTTTCCATCTGGCTATAAAGCCAGTCATGTTCTTGGGCTGAAGAAACTGCAAGGAGGCTAGTAGTTGCTAGAGAGAGGAAGCTGGGCGTTGCTATGTGATGTCATTACCTGACAGATACTTAGCATATTAACCTTTTAAATAGATAGCCTGCCCCTAGTTTGACAAGCATTCTCATTATGGCATAATGCTTATCAAAACAGGGGCATGATCTTTATTTTTTTTAAGTTGAAAAATCTCTAAAAATTCTGACAAACAACTGTCTATTCTGTCACCTTCTTTCATTTTCTCAGAATACCTATTCTCCACTACCTAAATCTCCTGTATTTTATTTTTGCCAAATAAATATTTCAGGGAGTGAAACAGTATAAAATAAAACTATCATACATAAAGTTTTTATATCATTTCATCTCCACAACAAGAGGAAAACCTGCTTTCCTGAAAATAGGTATCCATGCCCATTGTTCTTTTTTCATGCAAAGGTCTAAAAAAAAAAAGAACAAACGCTGTAATCCAATCTTTTCATGGGATCAAAATTTAAGTTACAATTTCTAATGCCCTCTTGGCACTAGAAAGTATTTACACTAAGATATAATCTTTATCAGGTTATATTCATCTTTCACTTGTCTAGTCAAAGTTCAATTAGTCCCATCACAACAAATATATTAAGGGGAAATGTTTTCATTTATAGCTCTTCCATGGTCACTGACAAGAAACAAAAACTCATTTATGAATAAGGTTAAGGAAATGGGCAACGTCGCTGACAAATACACTCTTAAAATACAAGGCGCAGACGATGAATGCAGTAAATTTTGAGAGCACCTGCCCTATACCGTACCAACATAAAACTCCATGTGGACATAAAATATTGGCAGGAAGCGGTTCATGAGAAGAAACAAAGCCTGACTCCTCCTCGGGATAACATGAAATCCACTCCAGGCAGGAGGTGAGTGACAAAAGACTAGGTAGGATCCCGAATCCATGAATGAGATCCCAGGCAAAAGGTGAGCCACCACTGTCCTGCAGAGCCAGCGTCCCAGTGCTGAACTGTGCCCCACACTTCCCATACCTATGCCTTCCCAGCCCAGCCCAACCCCACCCCCTTCCAGCCGAGCTAATCGAAGAATCCTAGCCGAAATCGGTGTGGCTCAGTGGATAGAGCGTCGGCCTGCGGACTGAAAGGTCCCAGGTTGGATTCCCGTCAAGGGCATGCACCTTGGTTGTGGGCACATCCCCAGTAGATGTGCAGGAGGCAGCTGATCGATGTTTCTCTCTCATGGATGTTTCTAACTATCTCTCTCTCTTCCTCTCTGTAAAATATCAATAAGATATATATATATATATATATGTATATATTTATTTATTTATTTATTTATTTATTTATTTATTTATTTATTTAGAAAAAGAATCCTAGACCTTCCCACCTCGGGGACAGAGGCTCCTTCCCCCACCCTTCCTGCTCACAGATCCAGATGCAGCCCCGACACCTCCCCGCCTCCCGCGCCCCCAACCCAGCCGGATGGAGAGATGGAGGGGACAGGGGAGTTGCCGGCGGAGAAAGACGCGCCCCGCTTCCGGCCGCCACCGGCTCCCGGAGACCCGGGGCGAGGATCTAGGCCACGGGGAGCTGCAGGCCCGTCCTCTCCACCCGCACCCAGCAGCCAGCCCCAGCGGGAAGGCGGACGATCACTTACTAATGGGAGCTCTGCCAGAAGTTCCCTGCCATGGGACACAGCTCGCCCTGATAAGAAAGCACCAGCCGGCGGAGCGGCTCGCGGAGCGACCATAGACCCAGCCCGCCCGGCAACCGCGCTCCTCGATCGGACCGGCTCCGCTCCGCCGCGACGGAGGTGAAAGGAAGAGGGTGGCACCCCAGTGCCTTTTGACGCCGGCCGGCAACCTCCACTGTGCAAAGCCGTTCCTGTGGATTAAAGTTCCGGCCCGCCCCGCCGTGGGGGAGGAAGCCGCTGGGAGGAGACCGTCTCTGGTCCAGATAGGGGATGGGAATCGGTGCTCACGGGGGCTCGCGGAGGGAGGGAGGGAGGGAGGCAGGCTCTCGCGAGAGCTTGGCGCCGGGGCAGGCCTGGAGACCGTGCAGCTCGGGTTTCTGGGGGCAGCAAGCATTCGCGGAGTGGGATGCTATGCTCCTCCGGCTTTGTTATTCCATGGTACGTCCACAGTACAGGCCTCCAAAGCAGCATGGTGGCATCGAATGCAAGGTTTTCTGACTTCAAAATTGGGAAGAGAAAGAGATTATTTTGGCCTTAAGGATGCGTTCTTAGTGGAGTTCTTTTGGAGTGAAGCAGAACATTTAGAGCGATAGTACTTTCGAGAAAGCATTTTTCACACTGTGGGGTGGAGACCAATTAGGATGCTGTGAAATGAGTATAATAAGCATGTTCTTAAATGAAAGAAAAAAAATCAGGTATATTAGAAATAGCAAGGCTATTATTTAAAAATTTTGACTGTTACATATGAATATACAGGTACTACATCAATGTATCATATGATTTCACTTATATGTGAATGAAATAAAGGAGCAAATAATATAGACACAGAGAACAGATGTTTGGTTGCCAGAGGTGGGGGTAAGGGCGCTGGGTGGAAAAGGTGAAGGGATTAAGAAGTACAAATTGACATTATAAACTGATTAACAAAATGATAGATGAAGCAACAAACAGACTGTCACATTACAGAGGGGAGAGTAGGGAGATATTAGGGAGATAAGAGATCAACCGAAGGACTTGTATCCATGCGTATAAGCGTAACCAATGGACACAAAACTAGGGAGGGAGGGTATGTATGTGAGGGGGTGGGCAATGATATGTACACATATAAAACCTTAATTAAAAAAAAAGTACAGATTGGCAGTTACAAAATAGTCACTGGGATGTAAAGTACAGCACAGGGAATATAGTCAATAATAATGTAATAACTATGTGTGGTGCCAGGTGGGTACTGGAAATATCCAGGGGAACAGTTTGTAAAGTATATGATTTTCTAACCATTATGCTGTACACCTGAAACGAATACAAAACAATATGGAATGTAAATTGCAATTGAAAAATAAAAGTTAAATTAAAAGATGTAAAATGCATCTTAGTAGCTTACCATAAAAGTATTTTATATCACGTCATTCCCATAAAGTCAGGTGTGGATTAGATTGTTCTCCTTGATAGTTGCCCTCCAGATCTTCAAGAATCTAGTATGTTTCCATCTTTCAACTACTCCATCTTGGTTCTTTGCCTTCAGGCTTAAAATCTTTCTAGAAAGAGGGCCCAAAACTTTCACAGGCTCTTACTTAGTGTTAAGAGACTTGAACCAGAAACAACACCATCACTTCCTCTCTTCTCATTGACCAGAACAGGCACATTCTTCTAACTTGAATGCAAGGCAGGTGAGAAATGTAGAGGCATCCATAGTATATTTGATGAACACTGCTGTCAGCTACACTGCCAATCCCAGACAAAAAAGTTTGAAAGGCAGTAAATAGCTTAAGAAACACCAGGCCCGAGGCTACCTCACATTGGTTTGGAATTTCTTCAACTCTCAGCGGCTGCCAGTCTGACATCCTCCAGAAGATAAGGAAGGGTACAAGTTAATATAACTAAATGTTTTGTTCGGTGTGTCCCCATTTCACTATTTTTAGCACTAGGCTAGCATTGTTTCATACCTAATTCTGCACTCTTCTTCCCACAAAACTATGAGCTTCTTCATCTTTTTTTTTTTTTTTTTAATATTAGTTCACGGTGTAACACATAGCAGGCGCTGGTATTTGTGGGACTGGATGCCTAGAGAAAAACAATATAACATGGACACAAAGTTAGGTGGAAAGGTATTTAGAATGCAAAAAGGAATCATAACAAATTATTAGAGCCTTGAAGATTTAGGTCCTTTCGTGAACTCTTTTAGGCAATTTATCAGACTACATAGAAATACTCTTGTCTGAACCTGGTTTCTACCTTGCACCCAGAACAGCAAATGCCCAGCAGTTCCCGGTGCTCCCAGTGGCTGCAAAAGCCAGGGGCCTGACGCTTAGGCTTCATTTGCTTCAGATTAAGTTATCTCTGAGGGGACTTTCTAGAGGCAGGTTAAATTCAATGACTTGAGCTAAAAGCTAACTTCATTTTAGGGTATCTGATGGAACTGAGCAATTTACAAAAGCTGTTAATGTCTATTTACCTGGATGCAAAAGACTATGGGCCACATAGTTTTGGTTCTTTTGGCTGATATGGTTCTTAAACTTTTCTTCATAATTTTAGGGATATTGCATCTCAGTCCTCACTATCTTCATAATTTAAACATACTGGAAGCAATCAATCTTGTCCCTTCTAAATTTTCATTTACCTTATGCTTTTCAAATAGGGAAATGATCAATAAATTATTGATACTAATGTTGATTCTCCTGTGACACACACAACAAAAAAGCAATTTACCCTTTTTTCTACAATACTTTCTCCAGTGGCATAAATACTACTTCTCAGAAACTAAACCTAGAAATTTAGTGGTTTTATCAGTTAATGGCAAGAACAGCTAGGATTCAGTTCTGTTTCCCAATGCAATAAACTTTTCACCCAACTATATAGCTTCAATAAAACTCTGACTAAATAACTGTAAACATATTATTCTAGGTTTGCAGTAAAATTTTTTTCTCCCAAACACTATTACTGAAGACCATCTTCTCACTTTTAATGAAATTATCATATGCTTTGGTACTAAGTCATTATTATGAAAATATTATCTCCTCTACCTAGTAATTTATTGTGCCTCCTTTATTTCAATTCTAGATACCCATGCTTGTTGAAGATGACTAAACCTCTAAACATTCTGGTAAACTGTACTAGTTAGGAACTCAGTCTCTAAACTACTTGTAAACTGATGAGTTCATGGAATAGATCTGTCACTTACTAGTTATGTAGCTGCCTTAGTCAGCATAGACTGCGGTAACAGAATACTATAGTCTGGATGGCTTAACCAACAGACATTTATTTCTTACAGTTCTGGAGACTGAGAGGTCCAAGATCAAGGTACCTGGTAATTCAATTTCTGGTGAGAACTATCTGCTTGGTGTGCAGATGGCTGGCTTTCTGCTGGGTCCTTATATGGCAAAAAAATAATAATAATAAATAAATAAATAATTAAAAAAATTAAAAAGAGAGAGAGAGAGAGAATAAGGAACCAATCCCATCATGAGGCATCACTCTCATGATCTCATCTAAATCTAACTAATTCCCAAAGGTTCCATCTCCAAATATCACATTGGGGTATTAGGCTTTCAACATACCATGTTTCCCCGAAAATAAGACATCCTCCAAAAATAAGACCTACTTACAGGTTTCCTTCTGAGTGAAATATAAGGCATCCCCCCTGAAAATAAGTCCCCACCACCACCAGGCTAAACATGAGAGATTTGGTCCACTGATTCTGAAAGAAATGGAGTCACAAGAAATTCACCAGGAAATTCAGGAATTGGATTGTTATGATGATGTTCCAGAAGATGATGACATGATTGTCATTGAATAAATGAGTAAATTCTTGATACTGTAGGATTCACAGTTTGTCTGGTTTGTGTTGACAACTACTGTACTACTGTACCGTATACAGATAATAAATGTCCTTTATTTTCATTTAACAATAAATGTGTACCGTATTCTTCTTCATGGAAAAATAAGACATCCCCTGAAAATAAGACCTAGCACATTTTTGGGAGCAAAAATTAATATAAGACACTGTCTTATTTTTGGGGAAACAGGATATGAATTGGTTTGCGGGTGGGGGGGGGAGGAGAGGAGAAGACAACATACTTTCAATCTATATCAGTAACATTGGTCAAACTTCTTAGCCAGTCTGAACCTCGTTTTTTTCATCTGTAAAACAGGGATAATCATATTCCTAAATCATAGGTCTGGTGAGGTTTAAATAAACCTTAAATGAAATTAGAATAGTGCCTGATACATGGGAAGAGCTCCATAACTCTTTTCTCTTACCCTTAGCTTTTATTATTTAAAACAAGTTTAGATTTTACAATCTGGATAATAGAGTTCTGTTTTCAAAGATAAGGAACATGGTGTCACCTTGATACAAAGACAGATGTGCTTACTCTACCATTTAGCACCAGCCCTTGACACTTTAATGCATTTGTACTCTGCAGGGGACAATAATTAAATAATTGTTGATTTATAGTGTTCCAGTGTACTCGTGCCATTGGGTATTTGTTCTGCCCTGTATACTTCCAGGTCTGGGATCTCCAAACAGTTTGGGGGATTCTGGAATTTACTTTCTAGATTCTGTTATCCTGGAATGGCCTTTGATAGAACACAATGTATCAATAAGAAGCTTAAGAGATACAGCCCAGTATTCTTATTGTCTGAAGATTCTAAAGACCAAGGAATGCCCCATTTCCAAGAAGACACCCTAGAACAACAACAAAAAAAGTGAAAATATTAGTAAAATTAGTAAGTCCAATCAAGGTGATCCAGGTGGACTGCAATGAAAAGTTTACACTAATTTATTGCATTATTTTGCAACAATAGAAAGTATTTAAGGAAGGAAAATTTATGGAATAAATGAATGGAGGTCAGAAAAGTCAAATTTGATAGGGTGTCTATATGAGTTTTCTAACGCTGCTATAATAAATTATCATAAACTTAGTGTTTTAAAACAACACAATTTATTATCAAGTAATTCTGAAAGTCAGAAGCCCAGAATGGGCCTACAGAAATCTTT